AAAACTGTATTTAATAATAATTATTTCATTAGAACCGGCGGATATCGGACTCCGTTTGCTTGTGCGCTAAGGCGTGCGATTAACTTTCTTCGTCAATTCAACGTTTATACAGTACAGCCTATCTGATGTCCACTGCGGAACATAGGCTATCCCCATAGATTACCTTATAGAGGGGAAATCTACACGCGGCTTACCGTTGGTAGCCGCAGTTTATTATCATTTTGGGCATTCTTTCGTTCTTATCGCTTATAGGATATACATTTTAACGATATTGTTATCTGTAGGTTCCGATGCAGTTTTACGATCGCGGATTCTTGAAATAATTTATATGAAACCGGTAATTGCGCATTTCTACAAATATTAAACACTGGCTAAGATTCGAATCGTACACAGTACCGACTTTTTACGTTCGTATTGAACTTAAAAGTAACACACAGGGGTCACAGTTGAATAGGGACAAAAAGTTCTCATTACACTCCTAAGGGGTCAAAATGGCCAAAAACCAAAAAATTGGGGGGGTGGCTCGAACTTTAGGCATAGTTAGTTTGAATAGCCTATCAAGTAGAGGATGTCATGGGGGTCATGGTTGAATAGGAGCAAAAAGTTCTCCTTATACTCATAGGGGGACAAAATGGCCAAAAACCAAAAAAATTTAAATTCTTCATTCGGCTATTACTTCCTTACTATCCTTCGGAGGTTCTTACACAGTCTTTACTTCCCGCATCCCAATTGTTAATAAAAGAAGAATCATTAAAGTCGGTTCATAAACAAAGAAGTTATGTCCGAACAAATAAAATATACATATTTTATTTGTTCGGACATAACTTCTAAATATTAACAGTGGTAGAGCCACGCGGCAGCTTTTGCTGTCGCACGGATGGGCCGGCTCGAACCGGGGTAGTACCACGACCTCACAGAAAACCAGCGTGAAGTAGAGATTTACCTCTGCGTTTCGCTTGGTAAGTGCAGGTGGCCGGAGGCCCTTTTTACTGGAAATGAGGCATTCCATCTTAGTCCTCACGGGTGACAACGCATCTACATTTTGATTTGTAATAGAGGATAGATGTAGATGTCTATGGGCCGCAGCAACCACTTACCATCAGGTGGACTGTGTGCTCGTTTGTCACCCTTATTCTATAAAAAAAAAAAAAAAAAAAAAAAAACATAGACAAAGTGTCCTTCTCCTTTGAGGTCGGTTAGTAAGACCTGTGTTACTTGCCTAGCAATTGGTAAAAGGCCACTGGTATTTTAGGTTTGTGATTGTATTAGGCAACAGAGATTGTATATTCACTTCTTTCACAATTTTCCATCAAAATCTTAGGGAGAATGGGTCTGGACAGTTGCGTTGCGCATACGAACCGGTTGCGACGCAGCCGTTACTTAGTGTCAGGTGCCTGGTTATGGAGGTTAGCGGGATCCGAAGCACGGTTGCACCGCTGGCCGACCGTAGACAGTTGGGGGCCCAATTAATGAGCCAGCCACTCATGAAAGGCTGCACCGCCATCTTATGAAAAATCCTGGGATGGCTCCACCATGCCGGTTGGCGCTGGGGCTCACCCAGCTGGTACAACAAGCGACTAGAGTACCTGATGTGGATGGGCACACAGCCAACTGCCTCGAACTTCTGCTGACGACCGATACGATGGTCACCGACAGGTACGATGTTCAGGTTACCTCATCATTGGGAACTTCTGACCACTGTCTAGTGAAATCTGTGTCGTTATATTCCCCACCTAACTACGATTTCCACGGTGTGCGGTGAGTGTGGCTATACAAGTCGGTAAATTGGGCTGAGATGCGCCATTTCTTTGCATCTTATCCTTGACGGCAGGTCTGCTTCTCGTCTGAAGACCCATCTAGCTGCGCGGATGCCATAACCTACATCGGTACATACATACGTCAAGCGATGGGGTATTTCATCCCCTTTGCTGACATGCCCATTGGTGGTAAAGCTCGCCCATGGTTCAACGCCGAGTGCGCTCGTGCTGAAAAGCACAAGCATATGGCGTACTTATTCTGGTCGATGCTCGAGACCGCAAAACTCCGGATGTTAGCCTTAAGAAGAGAGCCTTTAACCAAGCCGCCAGGTCCTGCAAAAAGGCATTACGCCAAGCCAGTTTCGACCGCATTAAACGCATCGGTACAAAGGTCTCTGTCAAACCATCTGGCAGTAGAGCTTTTTGGTCTCTCGCCGAAGCAGTCGAGACAAACTTCTGTCGGTCTACACTACCTCCACTGGTAAAACCAGATGGCTCACTGACGCATGCGCCTAAGGTGAAAGCGGACTTATTTGCTTTTCTTTTTGCTTGCAATTCGTGTCTGGACAGTAGGAACAGCGTACCATCTCAATTATCTCACTGCGGTACCTCTATGTCAGAGGTCCGTATTAACAACAAGGAGGTTCTTAACACCCTGTGAAGTCTAGACGTGAACAAAGCTAGTGGACCTGATGGTATACCAGCTATAGTTCTAAAGATCTGTGCACCTGAGTTGTCTCTTGTGTTGACACGCTTGTTCCACCTCTCATTCAGGACTGGAATAGTGGCCAAATCTTGGAAGCTGGCCAATGTGCAGCCTGTGCCTAAAAAAGGTAGCCGTACCGACTCTGCCAACTATCGGCCAATTTCAATTACCTCCATACTCTGCAAGATTATGGAGCGTATATTGAACGCCCACCTCATGGCATATCTAGAGCAAAATGATCTCCTCAGTGCAGTGATCGCCAGTACGGGTTTCGCCGAAATCGATCAACTGGGGACCTTCTAGCGTATGCCACTCACATATGGTGCGAAGCTCTCGAGAACAGTAGTGAAGCACTTGCTGTTTCCCTCGATGTTTCGAAGGCTTTTTACAGGGTTTGGCACGCTAGTCTATTGGGCAAGCTTTCAGCGTACAGCTTATCCCCGGGCCTGATTGTCTGGGTGAAGGAATTTCTGAGTGAACGGTCTCTCCGTGTCGTCGTCGATGGCTGCTCATCCGTTACTCTGGCGACTAACGCCTGTGTTCCTCAGGGGTCCGTTCTCTCCGCAACTCTCTTCCTGCTGCATATAAATGATCAACAGTAATGAGACGACCAAGTGCCGGGGCCAGTCGGGATCAAACCCGGTCAGAAAGATGTTTGAACGTGTGAATCTCACACTACATGCAGTCTCCGAATGGGGCGATGCCAATGTTGTGAGATTTAACGCCTTCAAAACACAAGTGTCTTTTCACCGCTAAAAGGAGCGCGCTCACCTTGGCTCCTACTTTCTGGAATGTATCCTTGGAGTACAAAGACTGCCTTCAGTTGTTAGGGGTTGAATTTTAGCCGAATCTCAACTATGGGCGGTTCATTGAGTCCAGAGCCAAAGCAGCCGCAAGGAAACTTGGTGTCCTTGCAAGGGTGCGGCGGTACTTCACGCCGGGGCAGCTTCTCATATAAAGCGCAAGTCCGGTCGTGCATGGAGTACTGCTGTCACATATGGGCTTGTGCTGCCAAATGCCACCTGGCAGCGTTGGACTCAGTGGAGAGAAGTGCTAAGAGGCTCATTGGTGACCTTGATTTGGTTGAAACCAAACTTGTCAGCCTCGAGCACAGGCGCAGAGTATCGGTATTCTAAAGGATGCACTTTGGTGAGCGTGCGCAGGAATTACACGCTTTAATTCCTCCCTCTCCTTTCCACCATCAGACAACCAGGCGGTTGGCAGGTCTTCACCTCTTTATTATTGAAATTCCACGCATTAGAACCAAACGGTTTGTTTAGTCTTTTGTAATGCGTACAGCAAAGGAGTGGAATAATTTGCCGGCGTATATCTTTGCGTCCGAATACAATCTCAGTCTTCAACCCAAGAGTGAATATTTTTTTTTACGCTAAGACAGTGCGATTTACCATCTAGGGCTGCTTCACCACTTACCACCAGATGGTATTGTGGTTAAGCATTGGCTTAAAATAAGTAAAAAAAAAACCTTTTTTGGCTAAATGTAGTCTAACCAAAGCGCTACCTTTTGAACTCTGTGCAGGCTTGACGCTTTGTATGTACAGTAAAAAAGACTGTAAACATAAAACGTATCTTCAAAATTATTCCTAAAGCCGATCCGATATCCGATTGCGGCAGTCTCCGGCAACCTTGATTCAGAATTCATTCGACTGTAACAAGATACAATTTGCTTTGTGCTACTTAAAATTGTCTCAAACAGACGTCTTTTGTAGTTTTTGCCCTCGGTCTGAACTGAACCAACGCGAAAGGAAATTAACGATTGTTTCTGTGATTGATTATTACTATCTCACCGAATGTTTTTTTTTTAAATAATCTAGGCAGTTTGACACATTGATAAATGTTTAGCGTCTGTTCCAAACTATTTTTTGATTGTTCCTGGATTTGTAAATTTAATATTTTTATGATATCATGTTAAAAGAAAAAAAATCAACATGATAGTTGAACTACGTCACCTTACCACGTAAAGGCGTTTTTGTTTTCTCAATACGATTTGTTATGTCCATAATGGTGACGGTCATACGTTGGTAAGATAAGAATAGTGCTTTTTAATTGTTAGCCTTGATATTAATGTATCGGTGTTGATAACGAATATCAGTTTCGGCTTTGTCAATTAACGCATATTATGTAATTTTTAGCGTGTATGTGTGTACTGAGAATGCGAAAAACAGCGTAGTGGTTCAGAAACAGAAACTTTTTTATTCAATATAGATTATAAATAATACTTATTGAAAGTCACTCTTTTGTTTATTTACAACTGGTTCGAAAAAAACCTCTGTCAAATATTTTTCTGAATCAAGTATTTGTATTTTAGCCCACTCATTAAATTAATTAAGTATCCCACTATAGAATATAAGGGTGCGAGTTACACTACCACGTTCTAGTTGTTTTAATTCATTAACGAAATTCTGTAGCCACGATATAGCCCCATTTTGTATTGTGGCTTGATTAACTTGACACTTAGAATCATGTAAACAATTGTATAAGCGACACACAATCATGGAGTTTTTTTTGTATTTTTCCAGAATAACAAACACGTGGGGGCTCTGGACGACGGACAGTTGCGCGCTCTTCTGGATGAGGCTATAGCGTACAAACGTCCAAAAGATAGAGAAGGAAAAAGCAGTCTTTTCAAGGTATTTTATATTTATTTTATTAATAAGTTAAAAGTTAGTTAAAGTTACAGCCTATTTACGTCCCACTGCTGGGTGGCCTCCTCTCATTTCTGAGAGGGTTTTACGGCAAGGAAATGTCCACCGTGCTGCCCACCATAATGCGTGTTGGTGAACTGCACATGTCTTCGAAATATTTGTTTTTCTTATTTCTCAGACATGCTCACGATGTTTTCCTTCACCGCCGAGCACGTTGTGAATCAGCACTAACAATTTCACTGGTGCCGACGGTAATCGAATCCAGGTTGCTCGCGTACAGTGAAACTTACAGCGAGCGCTAATCATCTGAGCTACCACGGCTCTTATATTATTAGTAATTCAATAGTAAATCTTAAAATTATACATTGCTTCTTACTTAGCCTTTCTCAATCCACTGCGTATATAACTATTGTCAGTAATGCGCTAGTTACATGTAAACTTGAAACATTTGGTCATATTAATTGCACTGAGTAGTTGTTGATGGTCGCAGAAACGCTACCCTCATAATGGTGATGCTGCTCTACATCAACAATCTGTGAAATTTCGGTTTGGAATTTTTTGGAAGTGTTTGGATATTCCGCTACCTGACTACCGATCATATCTCGTGCAGTTATACACCCTGTTGAGAGTGTGGAATCATACTGCGAAGATGCCCTTGTTCAGCACTGACCAATTTATGAGCTAATAAAGGCGCCGAACGATTGTTAAAGATCAAGTTACCATTTTTACTTTGATCCTAATGAGCGTTACATCAGATAAAAGAAATGTTTCCTTGTCTGCGCGTATACATACTTAAAGAAAAACCGCGTTATTGGGAAGCAGTGACATTGACCGTCTCGGCCACAGGAGCCAGTTGTAAGTGTAGTTAATATGCTGTTTGGTAGTTTGGTACAGATCAATATATAGAAACTCTTTTAATGCAGCAGTGCGGCCACGTCGGTTGGCTGGTTGGATGGGCTAATTCCATCCGTCCACACTGGTGACCTCTGCAGTACTGTTGAGGTGAACTGCGTGCATGTTTGTCTCTCAGTCTTCAATATAGTCGATGGAAACGAAAAGTGTCTTACTTTAATTGAAAAGATATTACAAAACCCTAAAACTAACGAAAAATATTGTAATTGACACGAAAATTAAACTTAGAAATGAAGAAAATAACGGCTGGATGTTTTATAAGCGAGTACACAGTCTACCTGATGGTTTATTATCGATTAAGAATCAAAATGCAGATGCGTTGTCAGCTCTGAGGCGTAAGATGGAACGTCTCGTTTACAGTAAAAAGGGTATCCGGTTCTCTACACTCATCATACGAAGTAATGCATTAAGCTGTTCTTTAGCGCTGGTATTCTGTGAGAGCGTGGTCCTACCGCGGTCGTACCGACCCATTCGTGCTACATCCATAATACAGCTGCAGCCTGGCTCTAACACGTATAACTTATGACGTATAACGATATATAATATGACATAATATGAAGTCCGTCAAAACGGATTGAGACAGAGCCAGATATTTCCTTCCTCTTAAGACCTTTTAGAAATGAGAGGAGTCCTGTGCCTGAGAGTGGAACGTATCTATACATACGTCCCACTTTTAACTTTACTTTGGTATAAATTCTTAAAAATATTTATGGGCAGTACAAAAATAGCGATAGTTAATAGACACGATACTTGCTGTAAACGCATAGTTTGCGTAATGCGATAACAATAATAGTGATTAGACTGTTACACAACGACTATTAGTCGTCTATTCCCTTGATTGAGTATCAACAATCAAAAAAAAGAAGGAAAACAAATGTCATCAACAGAAAATTTCATTTGCAACGTTATTTCAATGCTACAAAATTATATTTACGTCATATGACGTAAATATAATTTAGTACTTATTTGAATTATAATACAAAACGACGTAACACACACACACACACACACACACACACACACACACACACACACACACACACACACACACACACACACACACACACACACACACACACACACACATATATATATATTCCCCGCGGGGAACAGCGACTTCGCCCGCATGGAGTTATTTTTCGCGGAACCCTAAAATAAAAGCAGCCCAAGTTACTGCTTATAGCATCAGCTATCTGCCAGTGTGTATAAATGTTGACAAATATTGACATTAATATTCATACGATACTAACGTCAATCAATTGTTTGGCTTCCCGGGACCCCCTCCACTAACACTTAAACTTTATGGTATGGTATTAAAGTTCAAATTGACTTTTAAGTATTATTACGAATCTTTTATATGGGAATATAGAAAAGTGTTGTTTTTAGACTTTTTCAGGCAATTTTTTAAATTTTTGTCTGTAAGAACTATCTTCGTACTTCAACGAATATTATAAAAAAAAGAATTAGCCAAATCGGTTCAGCTGCTCACGAGATTTGCGCTTAGCAACATATACAGCGATTCATTTTTATATTATAGATATATATATATATATATATATATATATATATATATATATATAATATACATAATATGTCTTTTTGTATTATAACTTTACATTAGCATAACGTATATTGTTTTCATTTTCATACATCTAAATTATGGTAAGGCTATTTTAAAATAAAAATACTACATTCGAAATAAGGTATAAATGTTGCATCTTCGTAACCAAAATTAAATTTCTTTTTTTTTAATATAGTCCATACATATATTAAATTACATTACAATTTTTTAAATTTTCAAAAAACTAATAAGAAGGTATGTAGGCTTCATATTTATATTGGTGTTTCCGGCACAAATTACTCGATCATTCTTAAATTAAGTTTTGACTGATATGAAACTTCAATGACAGCACAGCTATTTTTAAGGTAGAGACAGACTGGTCCCACGCACAACGTATGCAACGCATTATGACGTCTGGACTCTTGATTTTGTATGAAAAACTATGCACTAGAAACACTTATCGTATGCAACGCAATCACACATGCCCGTCGCAACATCGATCTGCGATGTCTAGATTGGCGTGGGCAGGTAGAGGGGATGTTCGTAAGCAATCCCACGCGTACGACCAGTGTGTTCCTAGAACTTAGAACTTACTTTATAAACAAATAGACCCTTATACCGTGCACACGTTTTGTTGCCAAAGTGGGAAATAAACAGCTCATCGATTTAGTTAGGCGATACGAATGTACTTATAATATTATTGGGTAAACTATACGCTTGTGTTTGATATTTAAAAAAAAAACAACAAAATGGCTCAAATAACGTAATTCACAATGCATTTGCTTGCGAATTCATCAAGTCAACAATTGGTTTCCATACAACAGGTAAGAGATTGCCCTAAATAAGCAAGCTCAATCGCCAATTATTGGTACTACAGTGAGGCACCTCTTCTGATCACCTCACTTCTAAGTGTGATATTCGTGTCGGTTTACCGTCCCATCGGACTATGAGAGAGAGGAAATAAGAAGTGCATATATGCTTGTGCACACATTTGTGAACCATAATCCTGCCCTGCACCATTAACTCGTATATATATATATATATATATATATATATATATATATATATATATTATTTAAGAAGGGGAATTCATTGCGTCCTAATTTTTCACCAGACACAAAAAACCGAATATCTTTTAATGTTATTGGAAAATAGTTTTTAATTTTATACACTGCGAGTCTTTCTCTGGTACCAATAGACTTCTGTAAATGTTTATTTTCTTTTTTATATTATATCATTTTCAATAATTTTATGAATCTCCTCAAATTGCACTTTTGCCATACGAAAGTACAGAAAAAACCGTCATCATTTTCCAGTTCCGTAATTAATGTATGGTATTCTCTAAACTCCTTTGTTTGTTTATATGTTTCATGTACCATCGTATCTTCGCTGTTTAACTTTTTTCCTTATGGCGTGGATGTATTCATTTATGAACATCAGACTAAGTAAATCATTTTCAAACTCACTCCCAGAATTGAATTCGTGCGTCCGTTAAGAAGTGACAACAGTGTCTGACGCCAAACGTACGTTGCACACGTAGGTCAAGTGTGTACACCAACGTGGGAGCGTTGCATCGCATACGTTGCGTACGTGGGATCAGTCTGTTTCTCCCATAATTGTATAGTACCGTGTCTGCTCAGGAGGGTTTGGGCAGATACCACTAGCGTTTTGTTTGAAGTCGCTTGCTTTTGCCTACGAGTTAGGTACAGTAGTGATTTAGAACTTTTACTATGTCCGTTGGGGTCAGGAGCTGCTGGAGGAGGTGGAGCAGGACGAGCAGGCGTGCGAGGCGGCGGCGCGGGGCGCGGGCGCGGCGGGCGCGGGGTGCGCGGCGGGCGCGCGCGGCGGGCGGCGCGGCGCGGCGCACGGGCGGCGCGCGCTGCCGCACTCCAACTCGCTGCAGGACCTGATGGCGGCCGCGCTCGCCGCCGAGGCGCCGCGCCACCGCGCCGCCGCGCACCCGCCGCCCGCCAGCGTCTCGGCGCGCGCGCACCACGGCGGCAGCCTGCCCTCCGGCGTCGACACATGTGAGCCTCTCACGCGACACACACCACCGACACCACCACACCACCAAACCACACCTAAATGCACACACTACACAATATTTCAGCGGAACGATAACTTTAATATAAAACGTTATTTCTTTATAGAATAATGATGACGAACACACAGTCCACCTGATGATAAGTGGATGCTGTGGCCAATAGACTACATTTATCCTCGATTAAGAATCAAAATGCAAATGTGTTGTCACCCCTGAGGACTACGATGGAATACCTCGTTTCCAGTAAAAAGAGTCTCCGGTTCTCTATACTCGCCATAGGAAACACAACAGCATTAACCTGCTATTTTACGCTAGTATTCTGTGAGAGCGTGGTCCTTCCCCGGTCGAGCCGACCCATTCATGTCCCAAGCACAACATATGTGCAGCGTGGTTCTACTTCGTTTAAACACATTATTTGACACATATGAGTGTCTGCAAACTGACATACACACCTGTCCACAGTTTATAAACTTTCAGCAGAACAATTAATATTAATGCTGGTTTATTATTTTGCTCTTGACCCAGTAAATTTTACACGTTATGCCACACACGACGAACTACATACACTCACTTCATATTCATAATACCTTAGTGTAAAAAGATTTGCACTCTAAATTTCGATGGAACGACAACTTTAAAATTAATTATATTTTATTACTGTTATTCTGTTCTAGAAATTTCATACATAATATTTTAGCTGAGATTTTTTAAAAGATATGTGATAGAAACATTAATGGTTCATTAAAAAAAAAATGATTAAGTGTAAAAGATCGATCAACTAATTACCTTTTTCTGTTTTCTTTTTAATTTATTCTTTAATCCCTTTTTTCTACTACTCGATGCTTATAGCATAACAGTGCCGCATCATTTATTTTTATTAATAAAATCAAAATACACAATCTACCATAACAAATAATAGTCCAATCGAGTTTAGAAAATTGTGTTGACTCGTACGTCTCATACACTACACTAAAGAGACTGAAATTATTTTAGCTAAAGACCTCCGTAAGCTCCTAAACAATAGACAATTAAATAGACATGTGTTTCACCCAAAAGAGGGAATTTTTTTATAATCGCCACGCTTTGTACTAAAATTTGCGAATTAAGTTTTTGAAATCGCCATTATTATTGACAATAAGACTGGCGATAGCAGCGCCAAACGTCTTTCACCTTGAACACCACTTCTTTTCGTTAGTGTGGATATTTTATATATGGCTTTTAAGAATTTACCGCCATCAACTATGGTTCTTCATACCTTTCTAGCATTTCTTACAAAACCAACGCGTCGAAATGCCGTGCCCCCGTGTATTGCACGTGCGTTTAAACAATCGTGTTATTGTTACGCAGCGTCCATGCTGAGCGAGGAACCGACGCGCGGTGGATACCTGGCGACGGTGCGTTGTGTCAACCCGCCACCGCTTGCCGAGAGACGCGTCTCCGCGAGCGATGCGAACGGACCACCAGACCCCGACACTAGCAGGTACGCCCCGCCCCTCCCATATGGTTAACGTTGGCAATTATGTACATCATTATCATTGGCATCGACAAGGTATTATGACAACGTACTATGGTTAGCTAATATCTTCTGGTGTAATTTAAAGTGACAACTAGCTACTTCGATAGCGGTGGGCGACATCAGGACTCCGTATCACATACGTTTGCGTTATACCCAGCGTGGGAGCGGAAAATGACGGTCGTCTTCTTGCTATTTGTCTGTATTCGGATGTTGTAGCTGTTCCTGTGAATCCAAAGAAATCAATTGGTTAAGTATCCGTATTCGAGGCTGGTGAACGAGATCCGGAGAAAATAGATCCCGTTCAAAGACGACGAGGCTGAAGCAGTTGTCACGGCACATAGCAGGAATTATCTCCACCACCGGAGCACGCTAACTTGCAAAATTATATAAGGAAAACGCGTTGCATTGATGTTACTAATACTGTTTAATTGCCACGGGGTTTTCGCCGGAGGAATTCCAGCTTAATCTCGCCGTTGCCAGGTGGTGGCAGGTAGCCACATAAGAATCCATGTAAAAACTAGCTGGGTTAGTTATGTTCATGACTTGTGCTGCTATGCTTACCATACTTACCCAAGTTTGAGGTGTTGTGCTGACTGGACTGTAGTAATTATCGCAACGATACGAACACACCAACTGATCAGATTCGCTAAATGCAATACTAATGACTGCAATCTATTTGGAACATTTAAAGACAAATAATTTTAAGAAACAAAAACAAAAACAATCACAATAAGTCTTAAACTATTAGTAAGATAACTAATTTAATGATTCTGAGTTAATTAATTGTAAATTTTCGTGAAATTTAATACCAGTGTAAAATAGAGAACCGGTCACTGCTAACAAGGCATTCCTTCTTAGTCCTCAGTGGTCTCCATTTTGATTCTTAATCGCGTATAGATGTAGATGGCTATTGGCCACCTACATCTATCCGCGAGATATATACCATCAGGGGGACTACCAATATGCTTGTTTGTCACCGTATTCTATAAAATAAATTTAAACCCTTTATAAACTCTTCATAAATAATATATGTAAAATTAATTATTAAAAATGTCAATGAATTACGTACTATTTAAAAATTTGCAATAAAATGAAATCATCTTTCACCGCGTCTCTAAACAACGTAACGACAGTTGATAATCTTCAGTGTTTCTTAAAGCCTAGGTAAAAATGTTTATGTATTTATGGTCCGAGTTTTTTAATCCTTATATAGAGTATATAAAGATAAAAAAAGCAATATTATATTATAGACAGATAGCGTTTATTCGACGAAAAGCAAACAATTGAATTTTTCAATCGTCAGATAAGCTTTATGTAATGAATAACTCGAATACGTGAGGATGGATGTATTTGTCTCTTTCACTGCCCGTTAATCAGTTATTTGTTAGAGATGATGTTAAACAAAATATTTTACTTTTCTATGTTATTTCTTCATTTTTCTCAATACAAAGTTGATTGTTATTGTAATGGATCATCATTACAGCCCTTCACAAGTCCATTGCTGAACATAGGCCTCCCCCAAAGAATGCCACAAAGCACGGTCCTGAGCCACCTGCATCCATCGACTTCCTGCATGTCTTACCAGGTCGTCACTCCATCTCGTGGGGGGACGCCCTACACTTCGCCTACCGGTACGAGGCTGCCACTCGAGAACCTTTCTTCCCCATCGGTTGTCGGTTCTTCGAGCTATATGGCCGGCCCACTGCCACTTCAGCTTACTAATCCGTTGGGCTATGTCGGTTACTCTGGTTCTACTGCGGATATCCTCATTCCTAAGTTTATCACGCAGAGAAACTCCGAGCATAGCCCTCTCCATAGCTCGCTGAGCGACCTTGAGCTTCCTCATACGGCCAGCAGTGAAGGACCACGTCTCAGTTCCGTAAGTCATCACTGGCAACACGCACTGGTTGTACAATTTCGTTTTCAGGTTTTGAGGTATGTCTGACGAGAAGATGTGTCGTAGCTTCCCGAACGCTGCCCAGCCGAGTTGAATCCGTCGATTGACGGTCGAAGTTGGACTTACCTAGTCGGACTATTTGTTCCAGGTAAACATACTCGTCAACAACTTCGAGCTTAGTGCTCCCAACAACTACCGGCATAGGTGTGACATGGACATTAAACATGATCTTTGTTTTGTCCATGTTCATCTTAAGACCTATCCGTTGGGAAACACTATTGAGGTCATTGAGCATAGTGCTTAGGTCCTCCAGCGATTCTGCCATAAGGACTATATCGTCGGCAAATCGAAGGTGAGTGATGTACTCGCCATTGATGTTGATACCGTATCCTTTCCAGTCCAGAAGCTTGAAAACATCTTCCAATGCAGCGGTAAAGAGTTTCGGGGATATGACGTCACCCTGTCTTACACCTCTCTGCAATTGGATAGGTTTCGTACTCTGGTTCTGTACTCGGATAGCCATCGTAGCCCTACTGTACAAGCACTTCAACACTTCGATATACCGACAGTCAACTTGGCATCGCTGAAGGGACTGCAGCACCGCCCAAATTTCGACGGAATCAAAGGCTTTCTCATAGTCCACATACGCCAGACATAGTGGCAATTTGTACTCCTCGGACTTCTGTACAATTTGCCGAAGGGTATGTATGTGGTCTATGGTGCTAAAGCCTTTTCGGAAACCGGCTTGTTCGGGAGGCTGGAAGTCGTCAAGTATGCGCGCGAGACGATTCGTAATGACTCTCGAAAACAGCACGTAGACGCGGCTCAGAAGGGAAATCGGTCTGTAGTTCTTTAAGAGAGCGTTGTCACCTTTCTTGAAGAACAAGGCCACCGCACTTCTGCTCCACGCCTCCGGTGTAATGCCACCATGGAGGACGGAATTAAAGAGCTTCTGAAGGACTTCAAGTACCGGTCTTCCACCCGCTTTCAGAAGCTCCGCTGTAATTCCATCCTCGCCTGGGGCCTTGCCGTTTTTAAGGTGCTGGAGAGCCATTCTAATCTCGCTCAGACTGACGTCCGGGATATCTTCGGAATAGTGTCGGATGAGACTCGCTCTTGGATCGTTACTCACACTTGCGTGTGGCTCCAACGATGACGTGTACAGCTGCCCATAGAACCTCTCAATCTCACTCAAAATCTCAGGTGTCCCGGAAACGATGCTGCCACACTCTGTCTTCAGCTTTGACAGTTGGCTCTTTCTGGCAGACAGATCTCTGGCAAAGATTTTGGAGCCTTGGTTCCGCTCGATCGCTTCTTCAATACGAGCTGTATTGAAGTTGCGTAAGTCCCGCCGCATGCATTTGGAGATCTGTCTGTTCAGATGCATGTATGCTGTCAAGTCTGTTGAAGAATGTAGCTTCATCTCCCGTCTAACAGCCATGAGATTAAGAGTGTGATCGGAGAGTTTTTGTGTTCTTCTGCGGCGGGTCTTGCAGAACTTAGCTCCGACCGCATGGACAGTTTCCACGAGCTTGTCATTCATATCGTCCACTTCATTGCAGTCTTCTAGACACTGAAAACGGTTTTGTAACTCGAGCTGAAAGGTTTCGGAACTTTGGAACAGAGCACGAGGGGGATGGAGCATTGACTTCATTAGACGAGACCTCTCCAACTTAACGTTTAGGTTCAGTGTGCCTCTAACCGTTCGGTGATCGCTACCAGTTTTCACCCTCGCGATCACGGAGACATCACTGAACAGTTGTCGTCTGGCCGTCATAATGAAGTCAATCTCATTTTTTGTTGAACCGTCGGGGCTCGACCAGGTCCACTTCCTGTGGGGCCGCTTCTGGAAGAAAGTGTTCATCATAAAGAGTCCCTCTTTCTCCATGAAGTCGGCCAGCTGCTGGCCCCCTGGGTTCCGTTGCCCTATTCCAAATTTCCCTACTTTCAGCTCACCGTTCTCTCTTGTGCCTAGTTTTGCATTGAAGTCTCCCATTAACACCGTGTATTTGGAGGAATGCATGGCTCTAGAGATATCCTCATACATTTCCTCCACCTCCTCATCGGGGTGTGCCGAGGTTGGTGCGTAAACCTGTATGACCTTCAGCGAATACCCTTTGGTGATTCTGAGTATAAGGTACGCAACCCTCGTCGACACACTCCCAATCTTTACAACGTTGTTAACGAGAGACTTGTGGACGATAAATCCGACACCTTGGGACAGATGGTCGCTCTCCCGGTGATAGAGCAAGTTGCCGGATTCGAGGATTACCGTGTCCTCCCCCTCTCTTCGGACTTCGGATAATCCTATAATATGCCAGCGCAACTTGTCTATCTCTTCTTCCAGCTCCACGATCTTCTCGTCAGTCCTCAGGGTGCGTGCGTTGTACGTTGCCAGGTCGAGTCGTCTAAGGTGGCAACCGAACCTCCACCGGAGATTCTTAGCACCCCCTGCCCCGCCGTTACCATGGTCGCCACCGTAGCCAGGAATAGCGGGGCCGCCGGGGACTGGGGGCCGTCTCTTTGTTACATTCATAGGGGGGTATTTGCCATAGTTGCCACGCTTGGCAACTATGGCAAGTACCCTTGGCTACTATGGCGGGGTTGGCAACCCGCTCGCCAAGAAAAAAAAAACAAAAAAAATTGTAATGGATACTTTCATAGAATTAATGACCTGGAGCAATTGAGGAAGATGTTCTGACAAGTGAATTAATAAATCAACCTGCAAGAATAAAATTAAAATTTGCTTTCTTTTCTTTGATTCCATTGCAATTATATATTGTTTTACAAAGAAAATAAAACAAACTAAACAAAAAATAACTAAATAAATAAATTCTTACACTGGCTGTGCAATGTGCATTTGTTGGTTATGAAACTACTAATTTTACTATTAAAACTAATTTTACTAGAAAGTGCAAAAGTCATTTAAAACCATAGAGTGTTCGACACAAGATTTTTATCAGCGCTTGTCATGGCATCCACATTTAGATAAACTTATGAGTAGGATTAGAAAACTAACGTGGATATTTAAAAAAGTTAGACATGTCGCTGACAAAACATTGTTAACGAGACTCTACATTATTGTATTCCTGTATGGGGTGGAGCCATTAAAATAAAGTTTCTGGAAGTGGAAAGAACCTAAAGATCTCTGCTTTTCCTACACTATCTATTCCCAACTAATACATTATACACTTATAGTGACTTGTTGATAGTAAGGCAGCTATACATTCTCAAGTGCATACTTAAGCTACATAAATCTTTACCGTATGATCCTGCAATACTGACTAAAAGGAGGAAAGACAGAGTCGTTGCCACCACTACGGTGAAAACAGCTTTTGCAGCTAAACAATATCTAATAATGTCGGTCGTTAAATGTAAAGTTAATAAAACAATAAAAATATACCACTTAAACTATTATGACTGCAAAAAATCTCTCACACAATGGTTAAAATCCCTCAGCTACGCTGACACAGAAAAGTTACTAGAAAATATTACTTGACAGTGGACACTCAAATTGTAAATACCTATTTAAATTCAAATTACTTAAAAAAGTAATTTTATGTAGACTGATTTTATAAGTAATCACAAATGCTACACTTTGTATTTGTAACTAATACTTACCTCGTAGTCATATAATATGGAAGAGCGATAACTTCCTAATACAGGTATTTATATACTTAAAAGGAATGTTATCAAAAAGCTTTGGTAAACCTGATATTTTACAGAAATAAAGCATTTTTGATTTTGAAAAAAGATGTTTGATGTAAATAACGTGGCCTCTGACATGTAGTTGTCGTATTGTCCGCAGACGGAGTAAGCCTATGTTCCCAATAACATACACGGCGCGGGCGACACTCGAGATCGGGAGCAGCAGCGTGTGTTCCGGCCGAGCCGTTACCACCACAACGCCATCCAATCAGGTGCGTACAACACCTAGCGCGAACGTACGTTCAAACAAACTCTTTTATCATAACAGGACTCTTCATCGTCATCAGATCGCAGACCTGGCCGAGAGCCGAAGGCCGGTGACGAGCGGCCCTCCGGAGAGATTGTATACGAAGGCACGCTTATATAACCCCGAGATGAGAAGCCAGGCGATGTTGATGAATGCTTTGCGACCTAAAGCATCTCCCATTAACGAAACAGTTAAATTGGAAGCAAAAATGAATACGACAGATGTATTAGATATATCACGCGATCTCAATAAATCTCTTGCACAACATAATGAATGCATTTGTGCAAATAACACATACGAAACTAAACGAAAACAATCAGTAGAAAATTATATGAGTTCGGAAATGTGGATGAAGAATGTCCAGAATTGGTATAAGGGCTTAAATAATTACTTTGTGCCTTGTAATACGATCCAAGATTATTATAAAAATAATGAAACTGTACAAAATCCACAGGATTTTCATAAAATTACCAATGACAATTATAACACTTACACAAACACTTTGACCCTATTTCCATCAAAACAAAATTTACAGAAATCTGAGAAAGAACCTATTTCTGCAAGTACAGCCAATAAAGTAAAAACAGTAAGAAATAAACATGATAATCAAGGTTATTCTCAAGGAATGAAAAATAACACTAAACTTGAACCAAATTCCGAAATTTGTTGTGACTTTGAATATAGGAATAACAATTACAATAAAATCATAAACAAAAATTTAATCATCCCAACTCTGTCCTCAAACAACCCAAGAAATTTTAGACGTACAACAGTCGGCAGCATTATGAAAAAAACATGTGATTTTACTCAAACATCTGAAATGAATGATAATTGTTCTATAGAAACCGACTATAGAGATAAAGATTTATGTATTATTCAAAAGAACGTTTTAAATAATCAAAACCCCGAAATATCTACAGCTACAGGACATAACAAGGAAACAGTTGATAATCATTTGAAAAACATATCAAAGAACATTGATGAAACCAGAGAACCAGGACACGGCAAAGTTTTTGAATTTAACGAAGTAACGAAATCTTGTATCAACTCTCTTGAATCTAATTCTGATGTAGAAATGGTAAATTTTATGTCCAGTGGTGCCATGGGCAAAAGTAATTCATTTTCACAATTTGTAAATGACCAACAAAAATTATTCCAACTATTAGAAGATGAGTGTATTAAATCTGATCCTGACAAAACTATTATCGCTCAAAACAAAATTACAGAACCTTTCAGAAAAAATCAGATTCTAGATTTTGATTACAAGTCAGCAGAGATTGTGTCAAAAAACACTATCAAAGATAACATTGAATCTTCAAAAAACATAAGTGATATTGTGTGTAAAGTGGATGTGAATCAAAAAATTGAAAATTCAAAACTCCAAAGTGATAGTGAACAGACACAGGACTGTGTAGCTGAAGAAATATATGAATCAGTACCATTGCATACTGATTATATAACTTTAACACTCCCTGTTAGTTTTCTTTCATCCCTTACTAACACAAACATAGGAAACTCTACACGATTAGTTAAAGTTAATAATAAACATCTGATCCCTAAAGAAAAAATTTATAAATTAGAGAAAACTAGTGATCCTAACTCGGAACAAAAGTTAACAAAGAGATCTAAAGATAATAAGAAGGCTAGAAAATCGGCACTTACTGTACTTCTATTCAAGAATCTGTTTCAAAGAGCAGGCAGCTTATTATCCGACGTACAAATGATAACTCCTAATTACAATAAAGAGGTAGGATCCCTTATTAAAAGTTATGATTTTTTGTTTGAAATGCTGACCGTAATACCGTAGTGCTATGAGAGTGTTTTATTTTCAGGTCGATTCCACGATACCGTTTAGTTGCATCACAACACCGGAGGTTGTGGCTAGTTGCAACACGACGTCATCCACTTCACAATCAGCCGTCGCTGACGACCCCAAGGTGATCCTTTTTTTCTGCTTCTAAATTGGATGCTAATTTATAAACGCTGTGCGCTTCAAAACATTTGCATACTTTTCAAGGTCTTTATTTATTTGTATGTTTTTATATAATGAGTGACCACCTATTTTTGTTATAAATATCATGTATCTACAAAAAAAGTAAAAATACTGTTTTTGTTTAAATATTTATAATTAAGACCAAAGTGCGCTCTTTCTCTAGAAGTTTTTGACAAAACCGTAACGGGCGCTTGATCGGAGTGACGTCACTGTGCTAACACAATTTCATACGAGCACATTATCCGTGCGTCTCGTTATAATAATTAATTTTACTGCAAACAATGCTTAATAAATATTGTATTATGCTAAAGTGTTTCCAGTTTAATTATAAATATTGACTTATTTTTAAAGTAAGTAAAAATATTTTTCATAGATATTATTAATCCATCATAGATAATCTTAATTTAAATTATACCGATAAATTGCTGGAACGTTGGTTGTTCAGTTTTATGCAAGTTATTACAAGAAAGTGGAAATTGTTTAGGTTGGAAAGCAACCTGATAACAGGTTGATCACTAAAAACATGTACATAATTATTAATTACATAAAACTAAATATTCGAAACTTTTGAAATAAGTGAATTGCCTTGGAATTTATTTTTTTTCTATAGCATGTTTCTAGAGCAGGCGGAAAAACGTACATTGACCTTTGACGATATCATCGCGATAGCCAACCTTTTTCTTAGGTTTTATCTTTTTATCCTTGTATCATTACATACACCATCAGAGTGAAAGATAAGAGTGCCGAGAGCAAAGTTCTTCGCAGGTCCTGTGTGTATTATTTTATTATGAAGAAAGAAGATTATCCTAAACTTATATGAATTAAAAAGCAAATTAACGTTAATTTAAATTTATTATTTATAAACCATAAAGAGTTAATACAAATTTAATTATTACATTAACAGTAGGTAAGTAGTGTAATAAGTGGGTAGGTAGTTGTACAACAGATAACCTCTTCTTGGCAGTCGGGTAAAATGGCAAATTTTTAATGCATTATTTTAGCAGCCAACCTTGAAGCATGCATAAAACTTCTCATAATAGATTGTCAGAGACACTTGACAGACTATGCTTTTGTAACTATTTCAGAATCATTTTCTGATGATAAAGACGTGGAAAAGTTGGCCACATTGATTATAAAATTATCTACAGTTTTATCAATGGCATTATCCAATTCATTTAATTTGTTTTCTTCTTTTATGACATTATTAATGCAGTTTTTCCAATTTATGTGCTCAATATTGTATAGCCCTTCTTCATATAGTGTTTAGACGTCTGCCATTTTAAAAGTGGTATTGTTTTCGTAAACTATTAAGTAATCTGTGGTATTGTTTCGGTTTAGGTTTGATATCTCTGAATGACCGCTTCCTTCACCCCACCCCGTACCATGAAACACGCTTAGCGCATAGCGATACGTAATCGATAATGAAATGTATGGAAGCAATACCTGTCTTTTTGTTTCGGTGCTAACATAATACTTTAGGTCAATGTACGTTTTTCTGCATGCCCTAGAAACATACTATACGTAATATTATGTGTGTTTGTATACATACCTCATACTTGTTATGTGACACGCGTATAAAAGTCAATAATTTATCGATCGCATCAACAATGTTACTTTTCAAACTATAAAACCATTAACCAACCTAAATCTATAAAAAGAAAAAAAAAGAGTTTATTAATGTTTATTCTCTTGCAGAACAATTTACAATTGATATTTCTTTTTGAATTTATCCAATTTCTTCATATTAACATTTAAATTCAATTTATAACGTATTCATAGTTAAACGATTTAATAATAACCAGCCAACCACAGTTGGAAAAAATGTACGATACATAACATAAATGTACGAATAAATGTACGCACTTAGAAGCGACGCTCCGATAGCAGTTTTACTTTGCGCGCACGATAAGAATATATTAATACTATGTAAGAATATCAAAATATTGTAATTTGTTCATGTATGCTACAAGAAGTGACATCTGTGTTCATGTAGCGTAACCATGTATGGAATGTGAGATTTCAATAAATCTATCAGTCTGTTGTTCGAATGCACGCGGTTGTTTTATTAACAGAATAGGATCTCAGTTTTTAATAGTTTCATTTTTACCGTTATTTTTGAACTAACAGCAAATACATGTACGTCAAGAGGAACTAAATTTAAAGGGTTATTCTGTTTATCCTTTCTAGGGTCGATAATCGGAAACGCGTGTTCATCTTTTATCTTCATTACTTCAGACGGGGTGGATAGTCGGAATTCACTTTTATTTGTTCTACCGACTTTTTACCTCAAGAACAGTTACACATACGTTTTAATTATTAACTAATTTTTAATAACCACAAACTTAATCAAAAAAACGTATTACGTATAACCGTTACAGTTATAGCTTAATCCTTTAATTACGTATTGGATATATATATTTTATTATAGGTAGTATCTTAGGCCAGCTTTTATCAAGTTTCTATAATTGACTATACACAACAGTGGGAGAAAATCTGTAAAAAATATACATATACGAATAGGGTATTTTACACCATAAAAAAAATCAAAGAATATATATTTATGATAGATTTTGTAAAAAGTAAACGAGAAATATTGATCTCTATTCATAAAAATGCATTATAAATTTTATATTTCAATTTAAAGAATAATTATTTTTACCTGTGCCTCAAATCTGCAAAGCGATGTCCGCCATATTAGCTAGCGTCGTGACGTCACTAGGTCAAAGAACTAGGTTATGTGCTGTGTACTAACTAGCTAATTTCGAAATTTTTCAAGTTATCATTACGATTGTTGACTTTTATTCCGAATTTTATTGAAAAGGCATCATGGAAGACGGATTCGTTAAAGCGAGTTTATTACTTCGCCTTTAGCACTAATGTTATAGATATTATAATATAAGCTTAGGTGAGAAAAACTTTTTGTTATATTTTTTTATACAAACCCTCAGACTGAATAATAAGTCACTTTTTTATTTGGTCTGAGTAAAAACCATGTCTTTATTCCCATATAATAGAAGAAAACAGGAATTAAGTAAAACACGGCACTGCACTTGCAAGGGCTATCAAAATGACCCACAAAGGGCGGGACAGACGAGCGATTAACCTAATCTATAAGAAAATTTGACTTGCAATAGGTACCTATGATGTCATGATGTTTTGTTTTGTTTAATCGATAGTTAAATATAAGTCATATTTACATCAAAGTGATCTTCACAGAGGTATAGTATAGATTTTGTAGACAATGCCTGCGGGTCTCTTTTTGCCAGTTTTAATCAAGTATTTTTCATATTTAAATCAGTTGGCGCTCCATAACTTCCCCGGCGTTCTTATGCTCGTATTTTTGCAATCAGGCACAACAGAACAATGATATAGATGATAACTCATTATTAAACATGCAAAAGTATCTTATTCCTTTGCAAAATTGTCAAAATTTTAGGACAGTGACGTCACGAGTTGAACAGTATCTAGCGTTTGAGGGCTAGCGTTTTCACGCGAAAATTTAAAAGGATAGATTAAAAGTAATTTTTATGTCACTAATTGGTTTTAAAAAATTTATATAAAAATTATAGTGGTTCATTATCACTCTAGTATTCATTTAAAACACTTTTTGAAAATGGGTGTAATACCCTATTGCGATTATCCACCTTATGTGGGGCAGATAGATGAACACACGTATTTACTCTATTATTTCATCTATTACTCGTTATTCCATTTCATCCATTACCCTAGGGTGGAAATGGATGAAATGGAATAACCCAATTTATTTGTTGATTTTTTAATAAATAGGTAGATTATAGTTTAAGGAATTAAAATAGCATATTAATCCAACTTCACGAACAGTAAAGTTAAGAAAACATCTCGGAAATCATGACCCGCGGCATTTTAGAGATTATTATTGAATTTATTTTATGAAAAATATTACAGATAGCATTTACAATATGTATTTCTTAATTTAATTTATGCACACCCTTAGGCTGGAACATTCGGAATGCCTCTCTGAATTCATAATATGAATTCATTATATTATATTCTCATATCGATTTTTAAGAATGACTCTGATGAGCGTTCTGAATTCCGTATCGGAATATTTAAGATTATGATTTCATAACGCGTGTTTTTATACATTTGAACACGCGAGCACACATACACACACACACACACACACACACACACACACACACACATAAACACACACACACACATACACAACTTGTAAAGTTGCAACACGTCGTATACACAATAATGTAGAACTGACTTTCCCCTACTCTGATCACATTAAGAGGATGAATCCAGTGTATTCGTTTGCGTCTCTCTTTTATTATTATTTAAAGCTAAAAGTATTGCGATGAGTATTAATTCCTCTTCCATATCTGAGACGTGTGCCTGAGCCGAGAAACACAAAACGACTGATTTATCATTATATATATTTAAGATATGTGTGAGGCAGCTTGCTGGAAGTCAAATTATGAATTCCTCAAATTATGAAATTTAGAGAGGCATTCCGGAATCCGGATGTGTGAGTCCAGCCTTATACAGCGCACTAGTAGTCGATGTGCAACGCCCAACGCCTACCGAAATATCAGTCTGGCAGCAGTATTCATATCGTGCGCGTGTAAGTAGTGCGTGTTGTTGTGCGCGGGGCGCTGTGTCGCTGTGTACTGACGCGGTGGTGGGTGGCAGCCGTTGCAGCCGCTGCAGCCGGGCTCGTGCTACCGCGCGCTGGCGAGCCTGACGGGCGAGGCGGCGCTGCGTCCCGCCACTGCCACTGCCACTACCACTGCCACTGCCGCCGCCCCCGCGCCCACGCCCGCGCCGCACGCCCCGCAAACACCCGCGGAGGCGCCCGCTACGACGGCCGAGTCGCAACAACAGGTACCCGCCACTTTCAACCTTGTGCTTAATCGAGGAACGTCTGCATTCGCTTCACCTCTTGGAGCGATTTGCGTCCTATTGACACTGTTTGCTATGGGTAGTGTTAGAGCGGGCGGTACAACGCATTAAATATATTTGTATGCTGTTGAAAACATGTAACTGGTCGTCTTAGCTAAGCCATTTGTAACCATTGCACTTTTTTATCAGATTCGTTACTATGCTGAAATTTAGTTTTTTTCTTTAATAAGATATAAAATAAATGGTTATTCTAAATTATTTGACTTTATAGATTGCTACTATTTTTATGCTAAGTAGCAAGCTCAACAAGGACAAGGACCCATTCTTGGATCAGCAGTATACATATTATTCACTTGTGTCTTGTTACAAAAGTGGAAAAATGATCACTTTAATAACTGTGAAAACAATGTATTTTTTATTCCTAAATTCTAAAAAGCGAGGGGCGATTGTCAGTTATAAGGTTATAATTTATTAGAAACGTGTTCTTAAATTTTGCTACTTGTGCTTGTGTGGTTTTGCCATTTAACACTTTAAAAACCAAAACCAATCTTTTACATTTTTACCTGTCAATTATTACATATGAAAAGTATGCAAATGTGACTAATTACGCATCACTGCTTTAATTAACGCTATCTAATAGGAATTTATTCACTTAAACAAAACCTATATTTTTAGTTCTTGCTTATATCTGTTAGTAATGAGTAGACAAGGGGAATGGCTTACTATTTAAAATGTCTTATAATTTTTTTGGCACGTACTTTTGTTATTTTTTTAAAAATTATTTATAATATAACTATAATTTCTAATAAAACTAGTGTAGATTTTAGTGTCCGACCGAAACAGGATTTTCAACCGAAACCGAAAACGAACCTTCAGTCCAGGTGTCAGTTTCGGTTTCGAAACTAATTTAGACATGTTATTTTTTTATTGTACACTTAAATCTGGTATATTTTTTATACATATACAAATAGGTAATGCATGTTAATGAAAAACAGTCATTGTAATAGTCAAGTAGCAATATATTTATTTATTTTAAAGTAAAAATCAACAATTTAACGTTAAGAAATACTTTTTTAAGTCAATTTTGTAAAAAAAATCAACACTTACACCCATAAAAAGTTTTTTTTTTTAGTTTAATTGAGAACATATTTTGTGTTCACAATATTGTTAATATTATTCAATGAGAGCACTGACTTAATATATCACACTTACACACAATATACACACAACTTAACAAAATCCCAGAAAATATACAAAACCTGCTCAAAGTTTAATAAACTAAGTTTGTATAAAAAGGGTTATTATAATATTAAAGAATTTATGGATGATAATAACCCCTAGGAATGACGTGATCACTACCAAGCTATTTCTAATTTGTTTTGTGTTGTTAATTGTGTAACATACATGATTGTAAGTAGTGGCGTAGCTAGGCGTGGGCGACGTGGGCCCTCGCCCACGACTTCGCACTTAATGGGGCCTCGGGAGGCCCCCTAAAATGCGATGCTCCCAGACTTTACCACAGATGACTAACTAATTTGATCACTTTTACGCTCTAAAACGAAAGTCACAAATTTAAGTGTGTTTGTTTGGGGCCTCGCAAGAAGCCTCACTTAAGTGCGACTGCGAGTCCGTTGTAACTACCTTCAAAGACCGCGACTGTTATTTTGACGGAATACGAGACTTGTCAGGAGTTAATAGATATGAGTAGGTATGTCAAGTCATAGCATGTTTGGTGGGATAGATTTATTGGGTAGATCCTTGGAACGAAAGAAGGGCGTGGCTGGTGCAACTTTGCCCACGTTTATATTAGTCCACGCTACGCCTCTGATTGTAAGCTGTTATTTAAAAAAAAAAGTTCCACTGGGTTTCTTGCTGGTTCTTTCAAGGACAGAGGTTTTTTTTCGAACCAGTGGTAATTAAACAAAAGTGTAACTTTCAATAAATATTATTTATAATCTATATTGAATAAAAAGTTTCTGTTTCTGTATAATTAGAAATAATACACGAGTTACGAACTCATCCGAACGACGCACGATAATCCACGAACACATAGTTTCGGCGCCGCCGAAGGTTCGGCAGATATTTTGCCGAAACCGAAAGTATTACCGAAACAGAATCTTCGGTCGGTGACTAGTAGATTTTAGCAAAATTTTGAAGGATTACGAAATAACTGCCATATTTGATTACTCATACTGAGAAAGAACAAGCAGCGCCAAAGATGTGAGATGTTTTTATTACGATCTCCAATACTATAAACGTCCCACTGGTGGTCACAGGCCTCTTTTCATTTCTAAGAAAGTTAAGAGCAATTAATATTTTTGTCGAGTCTAATCAGGGAAGTCACTCTTGGGTAAATAAGGCTTTTGTTGTGATCAGCCTCGCAGCGTGGTGTCGAGCAGCTTCAACGGACTACCGCTGACCAGGCCGAGCTACGGGTCAACCACAGCCGCAACCGACGACTGTAAGGTACGTCGCGCCATTACACTTTTTAACTGTCTATACTAAACTCCATTAAAAAAAAGGAAAAAACAAAGCAATGTAAAATTAAGTTAATGAGTTTAGTGATGCTACCTTACTGTGAAGAACGATTTAATGAATTAATGTATTATTGAGAATGGAATGACAATGTTTGAATCAATGAAAATATACAAAATAGATATATCATCGCAGATAACGCAGAACAAAATAGAAAAACTGAACCTGAGAAGAAACACGCACTCGTACTCATATGCATTTAAAATCATTTGAATCAACAACATGGTTTGAGGTGAACACTGAGTTGAGCATGGTAATAACGATGCAGTAGCGTCGCTTCAAATGTACGTAACGTCCTATCTTTCTATGTTTGTTAGTCTGAGACAGTATAATACAAAATTTTAAATTCACGATTCATGCAATAACTACTGGACAGATTTCAATGACATTTTGTACGTAGACAGTAAGTGATCGTGTATAACATATAGGCAACTTTTGTCCGCTTATGGAAGAGTAAAAAAGGGTTATGTTTTCCCTTTTCTTTTAGTTTATTGTCATTATGGCTGCTGATGGTTCTATTAATTCTAAAGAGGATTTAGATATACGTATAATAAATCTATAGAAAAGTGTGTGTGTGAAAATAAATTCATCGCACCACCAACCAGAAAGAGCACAGTAATGTCTGCCAGGTCAGCTAGTCTATGTATAAGATTAAATATATGCAAATTATATTTCGGTGTCCCAGAAATCGACGTCAAGCCGAAAACTTACAATAAGCCAGTTGGTGACATCAGAAAATTAAAAACAAGCCATGGTCAATATACTTTTAAAATTCAAAAATTAATTAGACATTAAAATAAATCGAGATAATTAAACTTTCGTCTTTTCCACCATGAATAACCCTTCTGTAAATAATAGTCTTAAATTAAAACACAACTGCCTTAGTTTCAAAGAAAATGTCGTTATCAACCATATTTTCAAAATGATTACATGCCTCAACTTTAAATGATTGAGAAGGCACTGTAATATGTACCATATTGGCAAGTGACTTTAAAACATCTGGATTCTAAAATGATATGACAATTGCTAGATTACTTCGTAAATATAGTTTGGAAAATTATTCGTTCACATCGTTTCATTTAATTTTGATGAAAAAAATAAATTGTATTCCTAACTTTTAAAATATATTATTTACGTGTTTTAAATTTAGCGCGCTATTATTTTAACAGGATAGTGTTAGCTACAGGAAAAAAAATTAATAATGTTTACCAAAATAAATCGATTACACAAAGTATAAAATCGATTAAGGCTGTATGCTAAAACAATAAGTGCCTTTAAATTTTTAATAGCAATAAAACTTATAAAAGTTGAAAATCAAAAAAAATTTTTCACACCGTTTTTTTTTCTTCAAAGTAGCAATATAAAATGATTTTTTAGAAAATATAACATGGATTAATTAGAGTATCATCTTGATATACGGCTATTCATATTATCGTATAAGTGCAATATTATGGTTATGATAGAGTCATTTTAAGAACACAAAATTACTTGACCTTGACGCGTTGAGAGTAAAGCACTACCCAATAACGCTTAGCGTTATTAGGCGTGCGATAAGGAAGTGTTTCAAGTGAAAACTTCTTTAGCATCGTTGTGATTTGAAACTGGACGATACGAAAAAACAACACTAAAAGAAACAAACGTATACATGTATAGGATTTAGCCTGCGAGAGAATGAGATAGAATACAGTGTAGTAAGCGACAGTAGTCTTAATGGCATGGTGCGGACCGTGAACTCAAAAGGTTGTGGGCTTGGATCCGCCATTTTTTATTTTTAATCTTACCAATAGTGGCTAAAGGGATTTTTAGTAATATTAAAAGCATTGCTAGTATTTTTTTTTAATAGTGTTTCCTATTATTTCAGTCTCCTCTGTGCGGTGCTTTAAATATGATTAATATACATTTTAACTGTTAAAATATACAGTTAAAATAAATTAAATTAACCATATTGAATATAATTATCTTAATATACCAATACTTTACCTATAGAATGAAGTAGATGGCGCTATTACATCAAAAAAAACTTATTAGAAAGAAAATATTCTTTTGATTTATTACACTAAAATGAGTCTAAAATTTGTATCTAAGATTGTAACATATATAATTATTTTATTTTATAATTATTTGCTATAAAATTATACTTATCTTGTAATTTTGCCTCACTTGTGGTTGAAAATGATCATATTAAATAAATCATTTGCCGTGAAATATTTTTATTTTATATTTAATTTCATTTGGAGTTTTCACTTCCACCGCATGGGAATTGCACACATGTTTTTTTTTCTGTATGATTTCTTAATCCTTACCCTTATAAACATAGCTTCATATCTCTTTTATTTTACTTTGTCAATTTGCTTCTAGGCACTTACATATAAAATATGCATTTTTGCCAGCCTTTTTTTTTTAATTTTTGGTATTTTGTTTTAATTCCTTGAATCAAAAGTTTGATAACTCATAACATATGTTCATATTGTTTTCCTTCGGGTATTGCAATGCATATTCGTCGTATGTCATGTACGATGTTTCGGCATAACTCACACGTTTGGTGCAATTTTTTGTCCAGTCCCTTCACCTGAGATTTTTACGTGTAAAAGAGGCTATTAAATTATGTGGAAATTATTTATTCTGTTTTGAATTAGGTTTTTAGTTATTTTTAAAGTTTAATTATCGTATTTAATATTCTACCAATTTTGTTATTTATTCTATATAAAACGTATGAAAAAATATAACGCAATCGTTTTTAAAAGTTTGTAGAATTGTAGAATGCAATTCTCAAGAAAACCGACAATTTACTCGTCCAGAAAAATTCATTTTTCTGGGGTGTACCATACATTCATGTCACATATCTGAGGTGTGTGGGTACATATACCCCATACCAAAGCGCTTCTATACATTGTTGGTTTTTTTCTGTCGTGGAACTGGAGCCACCAAGTTGAAAATGTAATGGACTGGAATGGGTGATCATTTTGTATCATACAAAATTGTATGATTCTATAAACAGCAATTTCATATAATAGTATAAATTAATTATGTAAGCAAGCCATGAACGATATTACATTGATAATTTCATGTCTCTTCCCTAAATAATACTAATTTCCCCAGACAGGTGCTTTAAATACATTCCATTTAGGTTTTATTATACTACTTGTTTGCGTAGAAAACTCTTATTTTAATATAATGAGATAGTGTTTGTTTGTTTCTGTCTTTTTTATATAAAAAATTAAGATGTGAGTATACTAACCTTCCAATAGAAAAAAGAACTAAAATTAAATCTTTTTTATTTCAACTAAATTCTTTCATAGAATTGTGCCCGTTGCACACGTAGCTATAATATATAATAATTAAAGCATTTAAAAGTATATCGTAATATTATGTCTATTATGATATATTTTCTGTAATAATCTTTGAATTTGTTAATCAATTTGTGAGATACACGCAGCTATAATATTATATATTTTTAATTTAATTTTTAATTACCGCTAAAAATAACCCCTTTGTCGTATCTCCTCAGTTTCAAGGCACTCCCCTTGTTGCCTCAGCCAGTATCGGAATCCTCGCCGCCGACATATCAAGTGACATGCAGTTTCTTGGGTACTTGGAAGAGAAGGCCAAATTGGCCTCTAAAGCTGAACGCACATTTGTCCGCAGCGTACGCGCCGAATTTTAGAATTCGTTGTATGAAATCATATAAACCTCACACATTACACCCGCACCGTACGCGCCGGATTTTATAAAATGCGGTAGGTATACGATATCGAAGGACGAATGCTGATGACGTCATATAACGCGGCGCGTGCTGATACTCAGTGTTGTCTAATTTTGCCAACTTAGTGGCTTTTCCACTATAACTGGTGGTTTCAACTTACGTGATAATTTTTGTATTTTTATAACTTTTAATTCATTCGTAATTAATTATACACAATTTGATTTTTTTGCATCGATTATCAATATACCAATATATTTAGCGATAAATTATTTAAATACTGAACTAACAAAAAAATTGTTTAATTTAATTCAAAAACCCAATTATACCTGATTACTTAAGTGGCGAAGCTTGCGAAGTCACTTATTGATTTCACGATGTCTGTCCGTCTGTCCCACGATTATCTCGAGAACGGTTTTGAATTTTCAAATTCTGTTTTCAGCAATCGTTTACTGATCACCCAGGCATCTGAACCTCCTATTTTGAAACTGATTGCTCAACGGCAACCGTTAGAAACCGCTACAAAGCTGATTGCTTCGCCACTTTGCTATGCTGTTAGCTAGGTTTATTATCAATAAAAACATTACCTCAAACATACAAGTCTTTTCTCTGGTTCAATTGGCCTTCTAAATCGTTTTCCATAGAAAGATATGGTTTTAGTATATGTAGAAATTCTTGGAATTTTTGGTATGTTAAATGCAAATATCTAAAAAAATCGTTCCTCATCATCATCTAATAAGTCTTTAAATAAAGTATATCCCTTTCATATTCTCCATACAATTGCTTTTTTAAATTAATATTATGAATCCAGAATTTTTTTTTTCAAATTTTATTTTCTTCTTCCTCTGCCAATAAGCAGGCTATTACTATATTTCATTCCATAGTAATTTCGAGCGATCAATTTCACTGTACCGTTTCACACCAGTTGTTGGTAAAAACTACAAAAGTTGTTGGTAATACAAAATATTTGCGTACGGGGCCGACGATGCATACGGGCAAATGTAAATGTGCGAGGCCATCAGTAAAACTTGACGCGTATGGCGCGTACGATGCATACGGTGCGGACAAATGTGCGTTCCGATTAAAAAGCTTATCGTGCTCAGCAGAGCGGGACAGTATTTCATGCCGGCAAACCGCCTGCAACTTTACAAGGCGCAAGTTTTCGGTCTCACATGGAGTACTGTTCCCATCTCTGGGCTGGGGCTCCCCAGTGCCAGCTCCATCCACTTGACCGCATCCAGCGTAGGGCGGCTCGAATGGACGACCGAGTCCTTTCCGATGGGCTCGATTCACTGACGCTGCGAAGAAATGTTGTGTCTCTGCGTATTTTATCGCATCTACCACAGGGAGTGCTCTCAGGAATTGTTCGAACTAATTCCAGCCGCTCAATTTCACGTCGCGACAAAACTCGCGATACCATCGATGATTGGCGGCCCACCACTGTGCGATTTAGAAGAAGTTTTCTTCCTCGCACAACTTCCTTGTGAAATCGATTACCACCAATGATTTTTCCGGACCGATACGACTTAGGAATCTTCAAGAAAAGAACCTACTCCTTTTTTAAAAGGCCGGCAACGACAATTCCCCTGGTGTTGCAGTTGTTCATGGGTGGCGGTAGTCACCATCAGATGAGCCGCATGCTCGTTTGCCCCCTCTCCTATAAAAAGAAATATTACACGATAATTACGATATTTAAATATATTTGATAGCTTTTGATATATTTTAACATAATATTGCAACAGAGTGATCCATCTTTCTCAAGCAATGATAAATTTGCACATGGTTGTATTACGTTTTATTATCTTGTGTTTATCTGTGATCAATTCATGAAACCTCGAATTTTTAAAATACTGGGCGAATTTTTTTCAAGACGAATGTAACAAAAATTAAATTTGCCACGTGTTATCTTATTCTTTATGTATATGCGATTCAATGCAGATAGTACCTGCTTTTATTCATGGCAACACGCTTATCAAATACAGCTTCACAGTTATCCTTTGAAGAACTGTAAATTAAATCGAATAAGAATATGTTTGATGTACTACTTTATAATAAACGTGTAACATGCACTGTTAGGACAACCGCCGCTGCATTGAGGGCAATCATATATGTATATTTTACACTTATTAGTAGTAGTTGGATAATCGGGCGCAGATATTTACCTAAAGTTTACATTTTTTAGCATTAAAGATTAATATGGACATGAACTTCTAAATTTAATTTATTTAATTGAATCTCGCGACCGCACGATATACTAATATTTCGTAAATATACTAAACTAAAATTAATTATAAGACTAAGAATATTTTATATTAACTCATGGATGTACTGTAACAGAGTGAGTGATATAGCAATAATATTATCATACACATACCATAACATAACTAGACGAACCGGCAGAGATCAACGTCGTGAAACTCTCGTACTTTATGTATAAAAATTACGTGTTTAATTGTTTGTCCGCGATGAACTCCTAAACTACTGAACTGATTGCAATGAAATTTGCACACTGTGCACTTTGGTCCAACTTGAGAGATAGGATAGTTTTTATCCTGATAAGTGACACTCAATATTTTTTATTATGAATTTAAGGATTTTTTATATGAAAGGTCGTCGAAAAGTGCAGAACAATGCCTGCCTGGCCAGCTAGTATTATAATAAAACCGACCTTTGTATTATGTTAAAAACTGCGAATTATATTTGATTTTAATTAAAAATGGGTGTTTTTATATAATAATCATGAAAACAAAATCAATAGTTGGGGACAACAGAACTTTTTCGGTTTCGATTACTATTTAAAGTTATTGAATTGTTATTGTCGTTCACAAATAATTATCCTATATATTAAAGTACACAATGCTAACTGAGGGACAAAGTAATTTATTTCTTCCCGGTGTCCAGCAGTAGAGTCCAACGGCGGATGTGGCTAGTGGGGGACAACGAGAATAGACGAACAAGTCTCATATAAATTTTCTTTGTAAATTGTTTCACAATAATGAAATTTAAAAAAAATCTTTAAGTATGAAAGAATTCAATGAAATATCAAATTTACAATTAGTCCTATGAAATATTTATATGTAGGTATCATTTTTATTAATTTAAGGACCTTCAAGCAATCCCGCATGCGAGATTCAAAAAGACATGTCCATAATAATCTTTCCTTAATGCTAAAAAATGTAAACTATAGGTAAATAAGCGCCCGATTATCCGACCATAACTGATTAGTTATTACAATGTACGTTACTTTGATATAATTATATTATAGCGCAACGTATTTTAACATATTATATATTATAATGTGTGATGTGTGTGACGGCCCTAAGTTTAATAGGGACCTTTTATTTACAACGCGACTTCTTTCTGTTTTTTGATGCCGTTATTAGCATTTAATATAAATAAATTTAAATGCTTAGTTCACAGTCCTGTCTTACCAATATTGGTAACCTACTAAAACATTTTAATACATTTTTATGGCTTAATTTAATTATTATTTTATTCTGTCACATGATTTCTTATTCATCTTAAAAAAAATATTTGAAACGACTACTAATCTTCTAATAGTTGTTTTTCCTTTTTTATTCAGGTGCCTATATTCACTGTGCACTACCGTTTACAGAAATCACTAGACGAAAATGGCAATGCGGTACAGGGATTCAGCTCGCCCCTATCCGGATCTAGTCAACATAAAAAACCTAGGAGGAAAAAGTCTTCCAAGAACGAGACCGTTATTAAATCTCAGGAGATCGACGGCTATCAAGGCAATAAGGACCTTAACGAAGTGTTGCGTTTCATCGAATCGAACGCAGACAGCGCGCGTGGGAACAAGATAGGGCGCGCGAAACACAAGGACGACTCCGATGACAAAGCCAGCAAGAAACGTTCTACGGAACGTCGCAAGGATAAAGAAAATAAAATTAAGCGCGCAACCTCCATGGAGGAGCTGTCTCGAACGAAGTTATCGGATCTAACTGACAAGCCGGTGCCGCGAGCCGAGCCCGCCAAAGCCGAGCGGCGTTCGTGGGGCGAGGACGCGCGGGAGCCGCGCGACACTTTCTACCTGCGCGACGACACCGAGCTGACCGACTTCCAGACCGTCACCAAGAAGCGCAAGCCGAAGCGGCGCGCCGACGAGCCCGAGCCGGCGCGGCGAGCGCGCGCGCCCGAGCCGCGGCCGCGCCGCGAGTCCGCGCCGCCCTCCGACCGCAGCAACGACTCCACCGACGACATGGACTCGCTGCACTCGCTGCCCTCGCTGCCCGCGCCCGCGCCCGCGCCCGCAGCGCCGCAGCCCGCGCACGCCTCCTACGCGGACATCGCGCGCACGCGCCACAACATACCCGACCTCATCGAGTCGTGCAACTTCTACGCCGAGGGCGAGCCCGCCGCCGAGCCGCTCCGCCGCGACCCGCCGCCCGAGCCCGCCGAGCCCACCGAGCCCACCGCGCCCGGGGACTCGGACTACCCGGCGCTCGACGCGCGCGCGAGGAGGCGCGACAAGACGGCGCCCAGACCGCCCCGAAAAGAGCGTGCCGAACCGCGCGCGGCCGACTGTCCCGCCCCAGACGTCGTGTCGGACCGACGGCCGGCCGTCATCCTGCTGGACTGCGCGTCGCAGCCGCGCGACATGGACGGCGTGACGTTCGGGTTCGACATCAACGAACAGCTGGTCGGGGCCGGGCGGCGACCGCGCTGCGACCTGGTGCGCGACGCGCTGGAAGGCGCCGTGGCCGTGGCGGCGGGTGGCGCCGCGTTGCGCTACGTGCCGCCGCACGCCGCACACGACGCTCGCCGCCTGCACCACCTGCACCAGCTCGTGCACTACGTGGGCGCAGGTCAGTCCATTCACTATTGCGTTTGTTACCCCAACATTACACCATCTATCCGTATATTACGGCCTATGAAAGTGTACAGCTAATTTTGACACAGCTGACACACTCGTCTGGCCGCTGTTTCTTTTTTTCATTTTTAATTTCTTTATTGCTATCAGGAAGATTCTGCTACCCACCTTCTGTTTCAGTTTTCTCTGTCGCCTCCCACGACACCCACGGAACGATTCTTACACTGCTACTACACGTCACATTACACACGACATACGAGGGCGGCACTGAAAATATCGGGAATCAAGGAAGTGACATAACATTACTATTTAAAAATGTATTTATTACTTTTCGAAGTATTCTCCGCGAAATTTGACACATTTTTCCATACGATGGAACCAATCATTGAAGCAACCATCCCATTCGGAAGTTGGGGTCTCCAAAATGGCAGTTTTGTAGGCTTCCACAGCTTCTTCAGGTGATGAAAATCTCTGTCCACGCAATTTATTCTTTATTTTAGGGAAAATATAGAAATCATTAGGGCTTAGGTCGGAGCTGTACGGCGGATAATCTAATAATTCTATGTTTTCTTGCTCTTAAAACTCTTTTGTTCTGTGTGCGGTGTGAGAACTCGCATTGTCGTGATGGAGGATGATGCGGCGGTTGCAGTTCTCTTTACGGAGTTCAGAAACGACCTGTGGCAAACAAATGCTAGCATACCATTCTGCATTAACCGTTCTTTGTCCCTCAAGAGAAATAGTCGTAACATGGCCAGTTTTGGAGACAAACGTGGCCACAATCTTTGTTCGCTTTAACTCATTTTCGAACACCCAAACTCGTGACTGGTTTTTTGTTTCGGGTTCGTATGCGTATATCCAGGATTCGTCACCTGATACGATGCTGTATACAGCATTTGAGGATCCTGCGTGGAATCTTTCGAGAGTTCTGACGCACCAAGTAACGCGAGCCGTTTTTTGCTCTTCACAGAGCGAATGCGGTATCCATCGGGAAAACAACTTTTTCACACCTAATTGTTCATGCAAGATTATTTGTATTTGACTCATGCCAATATCTAAAGTTGCCTAAATTTCGCGGTATATCACATGTCGATCTTCCTCAATCAGCTTACGCACAGCATCAACGTTTTCTTGGGTGACTGCAGTTTTTGGACGACCTTGACGAGGATCATCACTGACCTTGACACGTCCACGTTGAAATTCAGCAAACCAGCGATAAATTGTGGTTTTGGATGGGGCTTCATCACCAAATGCAGAAATCATCCGGTCAACACACTGTTTTTGTGTTAAACGACTTCGAAAGTCATAATAAATCATCGCTCTAGAATTTTCTCGAGTCGATTCCATTTTCTCAACGACTAAACAAGTTTGACAAAACCTTGTGACAAGACCGAGAATCTTTTTTTAAATAAATAAATGGTATTCGATTTTTAAAACCAAGGACTTTTCAATTAAAAAGATTTTAATATGACAGGAACAGTGGAAATATTCTATTCCCGATACTTTTAGTGCAGCCTATGTAATTATTTTATTAATTTGAAGTGACAAAAGTACTTGTAGTCCACCTGATGGTAAGTGGCTACAGCAATTCTTCGACCCCAGCAGCCAAAAATCAAAGAAGATTCTCCAGGTGCATTGTCACTTCTAAAAACTAAGACAAATGAATGCTTCACCATCACTGTTACCATTACAGCATATCAAAAGTCCATTTCTAAACATAAGCCTTCCCCATTGATCGCACGCTTGGCAATGTTGACGAACGCAGTGTTTTATAATTTTGAGTTGATATCAGGAAATTGTCCCTCCGTCGACCACTACACGCCATTACACACAACAATGTTTTTATTAAATTGAAGCAACAAATGAACTTGCATTCCTCCTAATGGTAAGTGGCCCTTACAGCCCATCTATCAAACCACATGCAACTAACAAATCAACGTAGGTTACAGATGAATTGTCACTTTAGGGAACAAAGATGGAATGCCTCACAGTCTGTAATAATGACTCCACGACTTTTTCTGCCACCAGGGCGGCGCCACTTGAAAGTGAGGTATAACATTTGACAGATTTCATAGCGGGGAAGTTAATTTATTCGGAAAATGTAAGAGTTATTGTTTCTTTTTGTACTATTAGCTATATTTTATATTAATAACATTAAAAATAAATAAACCAAACCACAGATATTCATAAAAATAGAAAAATTTAAAAAAAATGTAAAAAATGTGAAAAAAATTAAAGAGAAAACCACTGACGCATTGTTTTGTGTATTAATATAATATTCTAGAAACTGATAAACTTTTATTGAAAAAACAACTTCTCAATTAAATTACATTATGTAACAAAAAACTTTACCTCAGTGTCAACTAGCGCCATCTGGTGAGCAGAAAATTATTAACCCTCATTATACTTTAGACCCGAACACACTGTATCTGTACGTTATCTAACAAGACAAATTTCTTGACAGAAAAAGTCCTCACTCATGGTAAAAATAATGTTACGTCGTATTATACATTCGCGTAGTTTAGTAACTATACTGTCGCCTAGGAGAATTGGTGCAACCCTTTTACCTATTCCTACCGTTTGTCAGCATTACACACAATACTATGGTCCGGTTTGATGGCAATACAACTCCATTATTACTAAACTAAAGTATTCTTACATGATGTGAAACATGTTGGCCCTCAGGGTGACAACGCATTTGTGGCATTCTTGATTAAGGATGTTACAGATATCGGTTGGCTACAGTAGCCATTTACCATTAGGGGTACTTTTACTCCTTTGTCCAGTTATTTTATGAAAAGAAAAAAAAATATTGACACAGATCGGTAACCGTGCCTTCGTCATCTGACATATACAACACTTACCTCAGTTTCCCCACGGGCGAAACAAAATACCTTTGCCAGATCGTACAATACATCAGCGAAAATCGGAAATCTTGGCATTACTTCCAACAACGTATCATGTATACCCCCACTGACACCATATTACCCCAGCTCCATATGACTCCAGCACCAGATCCTGTTCGACATTAACACTTTATTTATAAGAAGGCATTCTATCTTAGTCCTAAGGGCTGACAACGCATCTGCAGCACTTTGATTCTTAGCCAAGGATATCTATATGTCAGCATCTATAGAATCAGCTGGTCTGAGTGCTCGTCTGTCATAATATCTATAAAAAAAATTATACCAAAATTCATCCATCATTACCCATGATTTAGGTTACTGTTGTATGGGACTGTGTTACAGACTGATAAAGAAATAGAAGAGCATGTATTGAAAAACACTCGAAATATTGGAAATACAATATATTTTTAAATTTACATATATGTATACATATGTATACGCTTTTCACCCAGAGGGGTAGATGGAAACTACAGACTTCCAGTTGGCACGATCCTGACACACGTGCCTCTCTAGCTTTTATCATATCTCTATGCATACATCCCCGTCGATTGAAGGTACTCTTAATTTGGCTCATCATCAATATATCGCTGATTCGGTTGATAAATTTCCGCCCGGGTTTCCGTTGCCGATTCTGCCAATCAATTTACAGCATAAATTTGCAATTTCAATTCAATTGTTAAATTTTTTACTGTTCCCTCCTTCTACATGCCCAACTCATTGAAGTATTCCTTACACAATCTTGGTCACAACTTCTTCTTCTAAAGCACACTATTCTCTTATCACAAAATTTCCCTCCCTATCATTTAGAATCACCACTAACATACTTTTTTATGTCCACATTTCTACAGCATTAATTTTAGTCTCTTGCTTCTTGTGCCACGCCTTACTTTCACTACCATACATTCAGGTGGGGAGACTAACACAGTTCCATCCATCCATCCACACAGCCTATAAAAGTCCACTGCTGAACATAGGTCTCCCCCATACATTGCCTCATCTTGTCATAGTTGCCACACTCAGCAAGCGGCTTGTAACACAGTGAGTACAAATGTAATTAAAACTACAAGGCCAACCTTACCCTACGCTAGACGTTGATTGCGAATTTATCAATGATCGCCCTTGGTCCTTTTATAAATTATGGTCATTCTGGTGGTATAGACAACCGTGTTCTTTTGTTCAATTCATTTGTGCATTTCATTGAGTCACCTTTTGTGTAGGTCAGATCATAATGTGAGATAAGTCTCATGAATTTAGCGAATTAATGTCAATGCTTGAATTAATCATCTCCCCAGCTGTGAAAGATAAACTGAGGATTTGCAACATAAGCTTTTGAAGCTTTTTTTGCACAAATAGGTATGACAAACGAACATATAGTCTATCATCTAATAGTAAGTGGATGCTGTGGTCTATGAACACCTACATCTTTTATCAATTAAGAGTTAAAATCACTCCTTTAATATAAATTGGAAAATAGTTTATCACCAGTAAAAAGGGTGTTCATTTCTCCTCACTCACCATACAAAACGCAGTCTTACCAAACCAATTGAGCTACAGTCAAAATATTGCTATACTGTGGCCCTACCACGTGTTATTTTCATAAGTAACTAAAGATATGCCTATATAAAATCTATAATCTTTTTCATTGTTTAATTTTAAAGTTTTAACTTTGTTTTCATTTTCAGCTTGGGAAGATGTGGTGCGATGTGGTAATGGCAAAGTACGTTACTTTAGCGAGTAGCGTGTTTGCATGGACCCCAGTCACGCTTGGAACGCTCATACAGTGTAGTGTTGTATCAATAATGGAAGTTACAATAAAGTGCTTCAAATATTTGCGACCATGGTGACCAGTGATTAATTGGACTTGGAAGTATAGTTAAATAATCGCGCTGTACAGTTGGGACGGTTAAAACTTGGACATAGTTGTGAGTCTGTTATCCAATAAGCTTGTGTGTATTGAAGTAAATCGGCGCTTACATGATGTTATCTTATGGAGTTTTTATCGAATTCGTCTCGTGGAGGTTAGCGATCGACCGCAATGTAATGAAACTGTTCCTATGCGTGCGATGTCCGTGCGATTTTTGTGCGTTTTAATCTAAATTGGTGATTAATGTAACACTTGTTACGCGAAAAATTATACACTTGAGCCATCATAGGCCGAGATGTTTGAAATGTTTCGAAGGAAGTAGTCACTTTCGAAGCAAGATAGTTCGATATCTTTTACATTTGGACATTGCAAATGTGATGGTGATGACTTATGATTGTTCTCTCTCAAATAAGCGAATCGACGCTTCAACGTTGAATTGTCTCGCTCGTATTGTAAATGTAATGTGCTATGGAGCATCAATGTATTTGTTAGCGTTTTCGCTGTGATTAATATTATCTTGTTTTTGCTTTGTAAATAAAATGAATTAGAGCTTAAAGAGCATTTATCACATTTGCACTTATATTAAAGATAAAAAAGAGATTGATATTGGTCCTGTCTGGAATTGTTTTATTATTGTCAGGTTGAGTTATTTTTAGTATCTGGACATATGGCCTGGTACATAGTATAATTGTTATATAAATAAAATGTTGGAATGTAATACATTATTTTGTGCATTTTCTTTAAAATAAAGATTAAAAAATCCACCATTAGAAGCTTCTCTGCTAGCTAGCATTATTCTTGTGTAACAAATATCTCATTAGTTCTGTACGCATGACAAGCTTTGACTATGGCATGTGTCCGTACCAGGCCAGCAGTTGGGATTGTCTGTAGGTACATGGCACACAATTTTGTTTCTGTTGATGTTTATTGTGCTTTAGTTTTGTTATGTAATCACATACCAATAATAGATTATTTTTCTAACTATCTGCTCGCATCTTACTTTGTTATGTAATTTTTAAGTTTTACTACTGAAAACTATACATAACTGTTAATATAACTCATGTAAATCATGTGTCTATAGTGTCTGTTAACCAATATATAGTTAATTATGTCGGCTCTTCCAACAAAATTTTGTTTATTAACCAAATATTGCATTATACTTTATTAAAACTTTGTTTACTTGATAAATTTTAGGCCTTTCATATTTTTGTACGCAATTAAATAATTGTTATTAGGTATGTTGTGAACACTTGAGGCAGTACTCATAAAATACTACAAATTTATTTTTATATGGCATAGGAAATTATAAAAATAGAAGAATAATTATTTCCTAAAAATAATTATTAGTCACCTTTGCCTTAATCCAATATTTAATGGTGCTTTATCAACACAGAAGGGCTTAAATTGCTTTGTTGTCAGCAATTCTCTGTCCGACTAAGCATGTTTGCGAGCAATTATTCATACTTTGAACATCAATACTGGGTTCACTAGTAATGGCATTTCAATAAAATAGTACTTTTTGCTTGCTCACTTCCGTTTATTATAAATAAAATAAAAATTAAATATACCATTGCTCTAGTGATATCACACCCACTTCTAATTTTCGTTTTTGGTCTTCCCTGATAACTATCAGTTTGATAGATATTGCACAAACAAACTGCAATGTTTTGTTCCGAACAGAAGTAATGCTAAGAGATTTAGCATGTTTATATGGCTGAAGTTTCATATTTGTGCCTTGTGAAAATGCTCTCACAAGTTTAATAACTTATTGTATTAACAATGTTATTAACACAAAGCTAGTCGAGAAAAAAAACTAAAAAAACTTCATATGTTATAAAAACCATAAAAATATTTGATTAATATAGGCATTATTATAATAATTTCCTTGTAACTGCTATTTAATTGTTAATATGATAAATATTTATCATAACACCAGGTGTGCTGTTGTAGTGAGCATGAATAAGTTATAAGTGATGATTGTGTAACAATTTCCATTGCATGAGTAATATTAAAAAAAAAAAACAATCTCAGATAAACGTCTTAAAGTTGTTGTGTTTGTTAGCCTTTAAACAATTCCTTTCCACTTCCACTGTACTGCTATTATTATGTCACATATTTTATCTTTTAAATTTAAACTTTATAATATTCATTGTTATACTATATATTTTTTTATTTATTTTACATTTAACCTATTATTAACATACATCATTTTTTTTAATATTAAGGAAGTAAAATATATTCTAAATAACACATTATTTTAACAATACTTACGTTTTATTTCCTCAGTGGTCTTATTAAACTTTTTTATAGTTATCTCAAGAAATATCCTCCACTGCTATTTGTAAATAATATGTACATGGAAATTATATATTCAAAAATAAATGTTTTCTTGTATGTCGTTAGTTTGTTGATATTGTGTACTGAAAGGAAGCTCATATCAAAGGTATAGAAATATTATTTATTATTTCTTCTCCTTGTAAAATATGTAAATAAATTTGCAGAAGTAACTGGAATTTTTAAAGTTCATATTATAGAGCATAATTGAATAGTTAAAAGGTATGAGTGTTTCCATCAATTGTAACACTAGACATGTGCTGTTCCATCATGAAATAAAGGAGACTGAATTTTGGCAATGTTATAATGAAGAGATAAAATGGATGTGTCATGAGAAGGCAAACTTTATTATTTATACTTTATCTTTTTTTAATCACTATATGAGTTCATTAGTTCGGGTCAATCATTTTATGGTAAACACAGTAAATGATCATATGACCAGAATTCTGTACATGTCATACTCCTTTGCTTTGATCTAGGTGTTATGCAAGAGGCCGGTAAACTGGGGTAGAAAATATTTCGCTTTGAAATAGCTAAAGAAATGGACATGTTTGGACACTATTGGAATTTTTCGTGAATGCCTCTTAAATTAAATAAACATTTATATGAATAATAAAGTACGAATGAGCTATGCTTTAAAAAATTATTCAGCTGAAAATAAATGTTCAAACTATTTTTGGTTCCTATGAACTGGAATGAATCACTTCATTTATTATTGGCAAAGTGTAAATGTATGAATAAACAAAGGCTATTTTAAGTTGAACAATTGTCGTATTAATTGTTTAATATAGAAAGAACCATACAACGTCATGCCCTTTTGGCCTGTTGCTGTTAGATACCATATTTACACAGCACATATTTATTCAAAAATGGGACAATTGTCATGTATTTATAATATGTATCAATATGAACGATTATTTATCTGCTTACTTCTAACTATGAGTTGTGCTATATTTTTACTCTGTTTAAGTAGTATTTTTAAAACTATTAAAATAATCCCTTTGATTTTGCATTAAATAAGATTATGCTAATACTAAATATGTAATTATTAAAAGAATATGCCGGATATTCAATTTTTTTTATTTGCTGTTAAAAATTTATTCTATCTATAGATTGTTTTATTTACATAATTTAATTCATTATATATAATTAATAAACAGAGTGAAAATTTAGTACATTTTAACTGTAAAATATTTGTTTATAGAAATGTAACCAATTGCATTACAGTTATGTACTTTTTCACTGTTTCCGTTTTCATAATAAAAATGTTGAAATTACAAGTTGGTGTTTAAATTTTTAATAAAACTCAATCCGCCTTTTTACAAAATATGGTTTATTGATAGACTCGGGTTTTAATAATTTTATTATGATAGTCCGTATTCACAAGCACTACTTCGTTAAGCAGCCGCCATAATACAAAAAGTAGTTTTAAAATTAGTATCTGGTTAAAAATAGTCTGTGGATAAATTCTGCCACTCGGGAACCTTTTTTCCCCATCGGCTGTCGGTCCTTCGAGCTATTGCCGGTCCATTGCCACAAGCTTACTGATCCAATGCGCTGTCAGTTACTCTGGTTTAGTGTCGCCAGGTGTCCCGGTTTTCAGGGGTCTGGTGACACGTCCAGATTTTTCACTAAACTTATGTATTTTGATTAATAAAAAATACAAACTAAGTTTAGTGAGAAAATATGAGGATGTCAAAGCTACTAATTACTACATTATTGCTTTTCGAGCCGAAACTTGACACTGGATCTGGCAACATACTCTGGTTCTCTACTGCGGATATCCCACTTTTTTTTTTTTTTTATAGGAGAGGGGCAAACGAGCATGCGGCTCACCTGATGGTAAGTGACTACCGCCGCCCATGAACAACCGCAACACCAGGGGAATTGCAGATGCGTTGCCGGCCTTTTAAAAAGGAGTAGGCTCTTTTCTTGAAGGTCCCTAAGTCGTATCGGTCCGGAAAAATCCCTGGTGGTAAACTATTCCACAAGGAAGTTGTGCGAGGAAGAAAACATCTTCTAAATCGCACAGTGGTGGACCGCCAATCATCCAGATGGTGTGGATGGTATCGGGAGTTCTGCCGCGATGTTCGTTCGTGAAATTTGGCGGCTGGGATTAATCCGAACAATTCCTCAGAGCACTCCCCATGGTAGATGCGAAAGAAAATGCAAAGAGATGCAACATCTCTTCGCAGTGCCAATGAATCGAGCCGATCGGAAAGGGCTCGGTCGTCGACGATTCGAGCCGCTCTGCGCTGGATGCGGTCAAGTGGAAGGAGCTGGCACTGGGGAGCCCCTGCCCAGAGATGGGAACAGTATTCCATGTGAGGCCGAACCTGCGCCTTGTAAAGTTGCAGGCGGTGTGCCGGCATGAAATACTGTCCCGCTCTGCTGAGCACGCCAAGCTTTTTAGAGGCCAATTTGGCCTTCCCTTCTAAGTGACCACGAAACTGCACGTCACTCGATATGTCGACTCCGAGGATACCGATACTGGCTGAGGCAAGAAGGGGAGTGCCTTGAAACTGAGGAGATACGACAAAGGGGTTCTTTTTAGCGGTAAACGCGCAAACTTGTGTCTTCTGAGGATTAAACTGGACTAGATTTAGTCGCCCCCAATCCGAGACTTTGTCCAGCAAAGACTCGACTTCAGACACAAGTTTGTTCCGGTACTCGGCGACGTTTTCCCGAGAAATATTGGCCCGGCCGGTGTATAGAGCATCACCAGTGCTGTCATCCGCATAGCAATGAATGTTACCAGTTAGCAACATATCATTGATATGCAGAAGAAACAGCGTCGGTGATAGCACACAGCCTTGTGGAACACCAGCGTTAATAGGCTTGTAGTCAGAACATGCACCGTCTACAACGACCTTGATGCTCCGATCTGCAAGAAAGCTGGTGATCCAATTGCACAATTTCTCGGGAAGCCCATAGGAAGGCAGCTTTGAAAGAAGCGCTTTGTGCCAAACCCGATCAAAGGCCTTCGCAATGTCCAGACTAACGGCCAACGCCTCCCCCTTGGACTCTACTGCCTCCGCCCATCTATGGGTCAGGTAGACAAGAAGATCACCAGTTGATCGACACCGACGAAAACCGTATTGGCGGTCACTAATCAGCTGGTGATCCTCAAGGTACCGGATGAGCTGGCAGTTAATAATGGATTCCATTATTTTGGAGAACAAGGAGGTGATCGCGATAGGCCTATAGTTGGACGGGTCTGAGCGGTCGCCTTTTTTAGGGATCGGGTGGACAAAAGCTGTCTTCCATGAATTCGGGACTACGCCTTGGGAGTAGGAGTACCGGAAAAGACGCGTTAGGACCGGTGCCAACTCCGGAGCACACGTCCTCAGCACAATTGGGGGGATCCCGTCAGGCCCACTCGACTTCTGGATGTCCAGGGAGAGCAGTGCTTTGCGAACCGAGCGTTGTGAGAACAGCACATCCGGCATGGAGCACTCACACCGCGGGATGGTCGGCGGTGTTTTCCCCCCGTCATCAAGAGTCGAGTTGGACGCAAAAAGGGAGCCTAAAAGGTCGGCTTTGTCTTTTGCGTCATGGGCCAGTGAGTCATCCTCCCTGTGCAGAGATGGTAGTGATGGCTTACAGAAATTCCCTTGGACAGCCTTGGCGAGAGACCAGAATGCACGGGTTCCCGAAGGAAGGCGAACTAGTTTCTCGCCAATTCTGCCTATGTGCTCTGACTTTGCCTTGGCAATAACTCTTTTGAAGGACCTGGAGGCGAAGTTATACTTCTTTTTAAGTGTGCTGGTGTTTACATCCCGAGTCACCGAAGCTGCAGCCCAGGCTTGATAACACTCCTGCTTACTGCGCAATGCAGTCTTACAGTAGCGACCAAACCAAGGCTGAGATTTGCCTCCGATGGGTACCACAGATGATGGAATAAATAGTTCCATTCCCTGTAGCACCACATCAGTGACAGAGTCAGCAACAGCACTGGGATCATCCGGCGAGAAGCAAACCCGCCCCCATGGGTAGGATGCAAAGAAAGACCGCATTCCGTCCCAATCCGCCGACCTGTAATGCCAAACACGGCGGCAACCTGCAGAACGCAACCGCGAAGGGAGCGTGAGTGGCACCATACTCCGGATCAGACAATGGTCCGAAGAGCCGAGAGGGGCATCGACGGAAACCTGATATCCGTCCGGATGAGAGGTCAGCAGAAGGTCCAACAGGGAAGGTGTATGATCCTCCACATCTGGAATCCGCGTAGGCGAAGTAACCAGTTGTGTCAGACCATATGCCAAGGCAAAGTCATAAACAGATCTCCCCGCATGATCGGTTAAACGTGAACCGAGCCATTCGGCATGGTGGGCGTTAAAATCGCCAAGGATCACGATCTCTGCGGATGGGACCTGTTGTAGCAAGGAATCTGTAGCTATTTGGACGTGGTCGATGAGTCGGTCTGTTTCGGCATTACCGCTATGGGACCTATAGAGGCACCCGTAGACGCGCGGATGGTCGTCGCTGTCTACGCGTAGCCAAAGGATGGACAGGTCCGAACCTTCAAGACTGCCGAGGCGTCGAGAACAGATGTCCTCTCTAACATACACGCAAACTCCAGCCCGAGGCACAAAGGAAATTTAAGGAGGAAAGGAAATTACTGTTCACGTTTGAATAAACTGAAGAAATGACAAACTGACCGAATTTTACAATTGATAGTCTGGAGATTCCCGATTTTATTAGCTTATTTTTATGCTTAGAGCATAACACTTCATAAGTGTTGAGCTTCCTTATACGGAAGTGAAGAACCACGACTCTATATATATTACAGCAAATGGCACAAATATATGTAGTCATCTCTCAGTGACTCATATTTGTGCCACTTCAGTTCAACTGCCTCTGATGCCGCCCCGGCTCTAAACGAGGTACCCCTGAGATGAGAGGCCGCCAGAGTGTCTACGCAAGTAGCATCCCACACTAGGGCTATACCTCTCTCCCAAGGGACCAATGTCATACCGTCGGGTCTCCTGTCATCGTCTGATAAGGGTGACAAACGAGCACACAGTCCACCTGATGGTAAGTGGTTGCTGCGGCCCATAGACATCTACATCTATCCTCTATTACAAATCAAAATGTAGATGCGTTGTCACCCGTGAGGACTAAGATGGAATGCCTCATTTCCAGTAAAAAGGGCCTCCGGCCACCTGCACTCACCAAGCGAAACGCAGAGGTAAACCTCTACTTCACGCTGGTTTTCTGTGAGGTCGTGGTACCACCCCGGTTCGAGCTGGCCCATCCGTGCGACAGCAAAAGCTGCCGCGTGGCTCTACCACTGTTAATGTCTCTAAATATTCCACAAGGCGAGGGAGCATTTATAGAGACAAGAGCCTTTCGGATGACATCGTTCAAAGAACTGTGTCATGAAAACCTACCAGTGCTTTTCTTACATGAAAGTCCGTGAAGCCCAAACTTATCGACGCTGCTACCACAGGGGCACTGATGGGGTTGACAAAGCGCCGCTCCTAGTCGGATTCTTACGGCGATTAAGTAATGTGCAAATATAAAATACCTTTTTTGAAAAAATCATTATAGACAAAATATCAGTGTTCATTAATCATAATAATAGTCATTGCATATATCTTTACCTATAATTATGTAAAAATAAATTTAAAGTTAAATTTGGCCAACTTTTAGGTTGGATGAAGCAGAAATTTTGCATATACGTTAAGTTTAGATAAAAATAAGAGACCTCATTCAAAATCCAATACCGCGGACTCCCAAAGATGGAGGACTATTTTGTTTTTATAGGATCGGGTGACAAACGAACACACAGTCCACCTGATGGTAAGTGGTTGCTGTGGCCCATAGACATCTACATCTATCCTCAATAAAGACTCAAGATGCAGATGCGTTGTCACCCGTGAGGACTAAGATGGAATGCCTCTTTGCCAGTAAAAAGGGTCTCCCGTTCTCTACACTCACCATACGAAACACAGCAGCGTTAAGCTGCTATTTTACGCAGGTTTTCTGTGAGAGCGTGGTCCTTCCCCGTTCGAGCCGACCCATTCGTGCTACAACCATAATATAGCTGCAGCATGGCTCTACCACGTAGGCTGCAGCAGCAGCAGGACTAGTTATTTTTTGTGCATTCCGATGATATGGATATCAAATAAAAGGCTTTGCTGAGAAGAATATACCAAAAATAAATGTGAAGCGTGATTTTTGTTTTTTCTTTCAAACTCGCTTGCATAAATTAAACGTTTTCAAATGTTTTTAAGGAATAATTTATATTAACTTAAATCTTACCATAGAAACTTGTGATGTGTAGCTTCAAACTTACGGAAGTTACAATCAAGAAATATATTTATTATGCGAATCTTAAACAATAAATATAGGGTTTAGTATTTATTAGGTCTTTGTAAGTTTAAGCTGAACATTACAATTTTTTTTAACTGAGCTTTGTTAATCAATTCGGTCATTTATGTAATTTGATATAATTACATAATTTTAGTAATAAGATTAAATGAAGGAAAAAATATTAGTTAAGTTGGTAACATTAAGAACGCCATCGAATACATCTTCACGGTGTAATATTCCGTTCATAAAATTCGCACTAATGTACTATAATTTACTGGAATTAAAATATTATAAACACAATTGTTTTTTTTTTAAAACAAATATTCAAAGTTTAAAATCGGCGCTGAGACACCTTTTATTAAATAAAACTGCTCTTTCTGCGACGTATTTATTATCATAATCAACATTATACAGATGTTATGGCTTTGTATTCAAACCTCGTTCTATAATTAATAATAAAAATATTAACAAATTATCTTACATACACTTGAAAATGTACACTTTGTTATACAACTTACAAAATATTCCAAACCTCTACAAGCCGACATCGAAACTGCCGTCTGCAAATAACTTCCAGTAGTCATTAATAAAACAAATCGTACTGATATTGTGTATAATGAGATGCTTTATATAATTATATTTATTTTTTGTTTTTAAAATAAGGTATTGCATATTTTACATAGTGCAACAGTAGAAAGTACCAGATGACGACGTACATCAAATATCAACTATCAAGGCTTCACACGATTAATTCACTAAAATAAGCAGGGGTTGTAATGAGACTAAACGATATGTATTCTCATGTCATATTTTTTCTATTCTAAGTTTAAATGAACTTAAAAAAATTTAGAATTATAGTATTAAATAAAGCGAGAATGTATTTTTAAGTTTAGAGCAAAAAATTTCTGAGACACGTCGATTTATGCGCATAAAGAAATATTCCAATTTTACAAAACGTGACCAAAGCGCCAAAGTTTTAAACCATTTGAGTCAATTTTGTGAGCAAATGGGAATACAAACACGTCTGACATATGGTATTTATAATACATTTATTAATATGACTGTGTTTATATTTTTACTTCAGATGTCAATAAGATTGTATACTCACTACCTGCCGGAAGCCAAAGATTTTTCTGGTATTTGCTATAGTCGTCTTCTGCGACACCCAAGGGACAAATCGATGTGATAGACTTTCTTAAGTCACCTTTCGTTTGGCTACCTTTAATTATATTTAATTTGAAGTAAAATAAATTAGACAAAAACCAATGTTAATTTTAACATTGGTTTTTGTTAGACCGGCGCCAGTATTGTTACAATTTATAATATAGGTACTATATTGTTTATATTAAAGTTGAAATGAAGTCGCTTACCTAGCGAATTACAGAACATGTTTTGCTACTTTATTGATCTGGTTCTTAAAGCAAATTGGATAAGTTCACTTCTAAATTAAAAATTAAATTAAATTAATTATTATTACATGGTTTGTTAATATAGCTACATCATAACTGTAAAAGAATTTAAGATTGTTTTCTCGGTATTCGCAATGTCTTTGTATAAATATGATGAAAGTTTTAAAACGTTGAGTACTGCAAAAAATCATTTTTAGTTCCGAGACTCAAAAACACTATTTTTTTATACAATGTTATTTTATATATGCACAATTATGTAAAACATGCAAATATCTTATCTATTTCATCAAGTCACAAGCTTCGTTGTTACTATTATTTCTTAAATTGTAATACAAACAAAGCAATGTAGTCTTCTGATCTGTAGATACTTAAATTTTAGGCCGATTCTAGCCATTCATGTTGTTCCTTTAAAAATAAATGTTCTAAAATCACATTCATTATGTTATTTCCTTTCTAAAGTATAAACCAACACAATAAATAAATTATATGTATACATATGCCTGACATAACATTAATTTTAGTTAAATTTTGTCTATAAGATAATAGTAACTAAATTATGGTTAAAATATCTTTTTATAATATGTAGTCGCTGGTGCGTCTATTAATATAACTTTTTTACGACTTGACCGATTAAGGTTATATTCACACTTCAATTTATTCTATCGAGACGATAGATTATAGCTATGCTACGATCCTAGAATATTTATGGACCAAAATAATTCATATTCACAATATGTTCGTTAAGTGCCAAAAAAGAAAATCATTAAATCTGGACCCGATAGGTGGCGCTGTGCTTGTATTATGAATAATTCATATTTACACTGTAAAAAGTCCGGAGTAAAATTCAGAGTAAAACTAATCGCGCCACCTACCGGAAAAAGCAAACAACTTCTGCCAGGTCAGCTACAATATATATTTAAACTTTAGTTCTAGCGTAGTATTTGGATTAAAGCAAAAGTAAATAAAATTTGTTACAACAATAAATAAGCAACACATCACAAAAATATCATGGAATGAATACAAAAAAAATGTTTTCAACAGTTAGATGTATATACATGATTAATATTTATGTACACTATTGCAGACAAGCGAAAAATATTTATAAAAAAAAAAACACTAACATTTACAGAAGTACTTATAACTTTTCTTAATTTTTGTAAACAAACAAGAGAAGAGAATCGATATCATAAGTGCAGAACAACATAAACCCTCATTAGTTCTAAAACCGGCACAATAGAGGCGAGGGGAAGCTCGTATGTCTTATCCCTGAAACTTGTCTTTATTGTGCTATCAGACTAGCGAGATTGAGTTGATATTAGGCTTAGATATAGAAAAACATTGGTACTAAACTAGGTAAATTAACAGCGCATTTAATTTGATAGTAAAGTTATAAAGATACTAATTCATCAGGGTCGGTAAACAAGTTCTAAAAACACACTATAAGGCCAGTCACACTGGATGAACATCAAAGAAATTACAAATAATAGAGAATATCTAAATTTATTCATTTAATGTATAGATTGAGATTATGTAGAACACTTCTGGATCTGCTTTTATACTGTCGAATACTAAATAGGTCACGACAAGCCATTGATTATAATATTCAAATATTAGATTTTTAGTTATTTCATAAATAATATATAATATAACGTTTTTTTTTTAAGATTTGAGTGAGTCTCTTTCTTATTAGAAGAACTAAAAAATTAACTTACTTTTAGAATCAGTTACACGACATGTAGTAATTAGTTCAAAATAAAGATTAGAAGTAAAAAAAATACAGAGATGGAGCGAGGACATTTATATGTCACATGATAGAAGATTGGATTACAAAATTACATCCTATGGCTATAAAATAACATTTAACTAAAGAAAATGTCAAGAAAATATTTCATTTCATATACTGGAGCATTCATTATTTCAAAAATTACAAACCCACAAGAACAGTGACAAATAGCTATTTACTGATTGCCTTTTATCTGCCTGCTACTAATAGTTTAAATTTGACAACCTTGTAGTGGAGTGTTACATATTAAATATAATTAAAAAAAAATGTTCAAGGCAGGACCTACTTTAGTTACAGAAATTCATGTTTCTTGTTGTTTTTTCATACTTCAACCCTGTGCCCCAGTAACAGTTGAGGGTGGTGATTTTACTTCTAATCTTTATTTTGCTGTAGAGTAGAAGTTCTTCTACACTAGAATAATGACCTTTTAACCGATATTCGATTAAGACGACAAATTAAGTTGTTAATGGTGTGGAAGATATGATAGTACTACCGTCCTACCCGACCCGTATCCGATGTAATTGCTTAGCGATAAGATTATTTGAGAGTATAAGATGGGAAGAGGAGAACAATCTTAACAGAAACACATTTTGCCAATAAATAATCTGTGACTTGGTGCAAATTTTTTCTTGGCTCCGTCTGGGTTTGGTGGGTTTCGAAGCCGTGATAGGTGAAAGCCGTGGCAGTTTGCGTGCGTGGCGGTGTAGTGCTTGGTGGTGCTTGGTGGTGGTGCGGTGCGGCTAGAAGATGTCGGGGCAGTCGGCCCAGTCGGCGCGCTGCTTGCACTCCCAGTAGCGGTGGTTGTAGAGGTGGCGCAGCAGCGGCTGGCCCGGCGCCGCCTGCCGCGTGAACCAGCGCGGGCGTGGAGGTTCCGGCCCCGCGCCGCCCGCAGCCGCCGCCGCCTGCAACCCACCCCGCATTGCGCTCCTCTTGTAACTCTTTCACAATTATATCAATTAAAACGTGCTACAGACATGCTGCAGCTATACCACGCTTGTAGCACGTATATGTCGGCTCGACCGGGAATAGACCACGCTCGTGAGAGCGTGGTCTATTCCCGGTCGAGCCGACCATATATAGAATACCAACGTAAAATAGCAACTTAATCCTACTGTGTTTCATGTGGTGAATGTAGAGAAACGGAGGACTTTTTACTGGAAATAAGGCATTCCATGTAATCCTCAGTTCCATCATTGTAAATGCGTTGCCAACTTACAATTTAATTTTAAATCGGGAATAGATGTAGACGTCTATGGACCACAGCATCCACTTACCATCAAGTGAACCTTTTTGTCACCCTTATTCTAAAAAAATGGCCTCCTCCATGTGTATATGTGTGCGTGTGTACGTGTGTGTGCGTTACCTCCGCGGCAGCCTCGAGCTCGCGGCGCGCGGCGCGCTGCTTCTCCTCGAGGCGCAGCTTCTCTGCGTTGGCTTCGTCCCACAGGCCCTCCTCCATGAGGCGCTGGTCGGGCCGCCGCCGCGAGTCGGTCGGCGCCACGCCCTCCTCCGCCTCGTTCAGCTGCGCCGCCAGCAGCGTGAAGTTGTACCATCTGCGAACCACGCATCACTGTCACTACTGTCAACTTATACACCTGCAGTGCACTTTCTACCAGTCTAACTCTAGGTTAAGTGAAAACAAGTACGAAAAAATGTCTGTGCTTTAAAGACCTAATTCTGCCGCGAAATAGCAGTGTTTGTTCTGCTGTATTCAGCTCTGAAGAATATAAAGAGCCAGTATAATTATTTGTTTACATTTCATCTTAGTCCTCGGCCACTTGCCGTCAGGTGGACTGCAGATTCATTATTCACTATATTTTATAATAACCACTTACACTTATGACAACTACACTCAGAGCTCAGTAAAATTACTAAATCCCATTCAAACAGCGTTTATTTAACGTTATTTCATATATTATATATTACCTTTGTTACAGTAGTAAGATTATCGTCAAATTATCAATAAATAACGTTACCAAGCAAAATGTATCAATAATGAAGAAACCACAATGCCCGAAATCGACGCGTCGGCACCAAAGCAATTATTGATTACAATTTCAAATATTTATTTGACACTTTTCTAAATACGTACGCGTCGTTGTTATCATTTAAGTTGAGAGTTCCACACCCAAAGTTAATTTAAAACGTAACTACTGTTAAGGTGAAACATACGGTCTATTCCCGGCCATATTCTCGCGAGATGGCGCTGAACTTATAATTTTTTAGTTTATTCGGGTTTTTATGTAATTGGAGAATTACTATGTCGTAGAAGTAGCAATTGCGATACTCGGATATTATACTTTATTTTACTAGGTCATATCATTGCCTCAAAATCCACACAATACAACACAAAGTTCAAAAATAACATCTGTCATTGAATATAGTGTCGTTTACACACATTGACGTGGGTGAATTCTTAGTCCCTACATTTACGAAAATTGAACACTAGATGGCGAGAATAAAAAAAAATGTTTTCGTTTTTTCTGTATGGGTAGGCAGAACTACACAACGCCACCTGCTAGTATATATATTATGTACGATTCATCATCTGCCTAGCCTTTTTCCCAACTATATTGGGGTCGGCTCCCAGTCAAACCGGATTCAACTGAATACTAATATTTTGCGATTATGTTATAAAAATAAAAGTTATATTTGTAAAATGAGCCGTGGTAACTCAGATGGTTAGCACTCTCTGTAAGTTTCACAGTACGCGAGAAACCCGGGCCCGATTCCCGCCGGCACCAATGAAATTGTTAATTGCAATTTTAAGTCCTGATTTACCACGTGCTTGGCGGTGAAGGAAAATATATTTCGAAGAGATGTGAAGTTCGCCAACACGCATTGGGACAGCGCGGCGGACTTTTCCTTGCCCTAAAACCCTCTCAGAAATGAGAGGAGGCCTGTGCCTAGCAGTGGTACGTGTATATAGGCTGTAACTTTTTTAACTTATATTTGTGGGCGTAAATAAACTATTTAATTCAATAATAATCTTGGAAAATAAATTATCTCAACACTAAGAACAATAAACCGCAGTTTTATTTTATAACCTTACACTATTGAAATTAATGATCAAAACAAGTATTTGAAGCATTTATTTTTATACAAAATTTGCATTTATTTTACACAGATAATTATTATGTAATACACAACTTTAAATTAATCTCAAAAAGACAAAAAGTAATCGTTGCGACCGGGGAAATTTTCTCTAAATTTGTTAAGAAAATAACAAAAGTAATTCAACCGGTGGATCGAACCCGGAATCATAGATTATTGTCTTAAAAATTCCCTTTAAGAATTTACTAAGACAAATATTGCTAAGAAAACAACAAAAAGTAGTTCGACCGGGAATCGAACCATGGACCTTAGGATATTAGCGTTTAGCTTAGTATAATTATTGCTTGATAATTTATCTTTAGAAGCTATTCGTAATTGGTAAACTAATAAATTGAAATATTATTTATAGACGCGTCGCCAACAGTATGCGTTAATTACCAGGAAGGTGAAAAAATATTTCCTAATTTCAAAGCACACACAACTACAAAAGCTTTTAGTTAAACAAAAATCATTTGACTTGTTGATTATTTTTTTATTAGATTAGTTTTAGGGCAAGAAAAGAAAATGTCCGCCGCGGTGCAAGTAACAAATTCATCAGTGCCGGCTGGGCTCGAACTCGGGTTAATCGCGTAGCGTGAAATTTGCAGTGAGCGCTAACCAACTGAGCTACTATGGCTCGTGATTCGTATTTACCAATTTTTAGATAATATACTTACATTTATTTCTATTCTATTTTTATAAAGTTTAATATTTATAATTATGTTATTAATAAATAAATAATTATTAATCTAATAACCATAATAAAACAAAATTAATATTAAATACATAACCATTATTTTCATCTGTTATGCAAGGACAAATCAACTAAAAAAGTCCAGGACCAACAACAACAAACAAACGATATGACGCGACCTTGAGCTTGGTACTACAACAAATTAAAACTAACTAATAATAATATGTGTCTCTCTGAAACTGTTTGCAAAATACGTAATAGGTATTTTTACGTAACCTCGCAAAACTATATTTTGCAAATGTTTGTAAAATTAATTTTGTGGTTTACCAATTTATAATTGTATTTATTGTTGAAAAAAATATTCAAACAAAACACTGACTTTGTAGTTTTGCACTCAACACCGACACGTATGACATAGGTAATTAGTATTGTAACGAGATTTGAAATCACGGGCCAACTTGCGTTTCTAATACCACCGAAAACAAAATTGCGTATTTTGAATAATTAATTACTATACCTACAATAAATTACAATATATTGTATTATATTGGATTCAAATACATACTAGAAATATTGCAAATTGAACCAATGAAAATCATACAAAAATATAATATAAATCGCAAGAAATTCCGCGCGCAAATCCTATCCCTTGACAATCGAGATTTACTAAAGAATGTTCATGCTATTGTATCTTCTAAGAAATCCCACTGTTGGTTAAACTACCGCCATCTAGTCATTGATTTATAAAACACTTTATACTTTTTTATTTATGGCGGCTCTGGAATCTTGAATTTTTAGCTGCTTTACGTAAATTAATCAAGACAGTGTGGCCGCCACAAAAATCAAGCATTATCAGTATGAATTCTAATGATAGATATAAAGGAAATTGTAAAAAGAAAATCATGTTTTATTAAGCAAATTATTGCTATATGTTAATGCATATATTAACTATATTTAAAAAAGGAATTGGTGTTAGTAAACTTATTAATTTTTGACCATGAGGTTTATTTATATTAGAAGTAGTATAGTAATAAGAACTAGAAGTTTTAGCGTCGTTTCATTAGGCAACACTGAGTAAAATTAAAAAAATTATAAGAAATATGTCCGTTGTCTTGTGCATGTGCTTATTTCTTGTGATTTCATATTTTTGAGTGTTTTATCGCTATTGCTTATGTATTTGCGTCGAGTTGAGTTGAATTATCGCTCCTCCGCTTTCCATTAGTATCGCTGTCGAAACACCCAAGTCTTGAACTGTTGTGATTAAGAGTGCATTGTTGGTTAAATGGTTTTCGGTTAACTTAACATTTTCACTAATTACCACATTCAAATTTAAAGACTATAACTGCGCTAGAATGTCTCAACAATCTTGTTGTGTGCCCACCTGTACGGTTACACTTGGAGATGGTAAGTTAAACTTCATATGTTCATAAAATATAAAATTACCTCTGTACTTTCAAAGAAGTCACAGCCGAATGCAACTGCCCACATGAACTTTTAGCCATGAACAAATAGAATACACCTAAAAGTAACCAATCATAATCGGCTGCACCTAGTTGTAACCAGCTAAACTCTTGTAGCCGGTTATAAAAGAAAATCGTCTGGTTACCTTATTATCATTATATTAAAATACTTTTGTTACATCAAACTTAATATTGAAAAATATATCTTTAACTGTACCTTCCGTTTTATTAAGGAAGTGTCTTTAAAAGTAAACAAGTCCTAGAAATTGAATGCACTGTACTGAAAGACACCATTATTAACACCTAATTTAGAGTTATCTGTTTTTTGATAAAGTTGTTTTATCCCACATATGTATATAATTCCTTGGCTGTATGGATATTGAGTGAATAAAATTATTTCTTATTACTTTTATTATATAAATAATGAACTAATGGTTTGTTTTCAGGTGTCCCTCTGCATAGATTTCCTAACCCAAGTAATCCAAAAGAAATTGAAAGATTTCGTACGTGGGTTATAAAGATTGGAGGTGAAATAGTTGGTAGAGATGACCTGTACATTTATGACAACAGAAGGATATGTCATAACCATTTTGAGGAGGTTTTCATATACCCTACTACAAGGAGGCTGTCTAAATTAGCAGTTCCCTCTCTGAATTTATCAGGTATGTTAACGTCATCATACTCAAATATTTAAGTTACACAATTTTTAAAAATGGTGCTATTTCTTATGAACATTTATTAAATTCTTTTTTAGGTGTGTACAGACAACTTCCTGAAAGGTTACATCATAGATTAAATGAACAACAACCTTTGTCAGTACAAATGGATTTTAACATTCGGTGCTATATTCCATCACAAGATGGTAAGTAAACCTTAAAGTATTATAATTTTTATTTCCTCCCACATAATATGATCAGTACATTACAATAAACAAAGTAACAATAAACTTATACAACTAAATAACAGCTATAATACTTTGTTACTATTTATATATTTATTTGAATTTCAGAAACTAGCTATACACTTTTAAAGTTAAAAGTTAAAGTTACAGCCTAAATATGTCCCACTGCTGGGCACAGGCATTCTCTCATTTCTGAGAGTGTTTGAGGGCAAGGAAATGTCCGCCATGCTGCCCCAATGTGTGATGGTGATTTTCTCATTCTCAGATATGCAGGTTTCCTCAGTGTTTTCCTTCACTGCCGAACATATGGTAAATCAGCATTTAAAATTGCAATGAACAATTTCATTGGTGCTGGCAGGGATCATACCCGGGTTGCTCGTGAACTGTGAAATTTACAGCTAGGTC